ACCCATTTCCCTTCCTCTATAAATATGTGAGTTTATTGCACGTTTAAGGTATGCTTTTAACAACTTAAATCTAGCCAAATTCCCTCCCCATTTTCTCTCTTACACTATTGTTTCTCCCTCCAACAGTTAATTTGACCATCGAAGTGCAAATGGTTGTGGACATGTCACGCGTTTTCTATAACATGATTTATACCGCAAGTGTACGGTGTCAAGTTTTGTAATATAATAATAGAGTTAGAGTGTCGAACACATAGAGATTGTAATTCAAATTTCTATTAAGTACTATAATTATATAACATCTATCGAACCCACAGGGATTGTAATTCAAATTTCTACTAAGTAGTATAATTATATAGCCTCTATGTTATCTAGATGAATGAATTTTATAATCAATGTTTTTTTAAAACTAATATGGTGACGAATTCAACAAATAAATTCAAGTTAGAAGAATAATCAAGTGAGGAAGCCCAGAGTTATAATTTCACCTAGCTATCAAATACGATTCTCTATTATATAATGATTTCTAATCAATTTTCCAAAGTTTATAAGCAAGAACACCGAGTGCCGAGTAAAAATTATTCCTATATTTCAATTCCAATATCTCTATTCCGAATTAAAATATAAAATTTATCAAATTCGTGGTTCTTAAATGAAATATGCTTCAAAGGAATTATTCTTTCTCTTGAAACTTATAATTTCTTAGGTTGTATTATTCTTATGATTATGCATAAACTCCTCTATCTCGAGTACCAGAATTGACTACTATCAAATCATTCAACTAGAAGTCAATTAATTGAAAGTATTAAAATCATAACACAAATAAACACATGGGAAAAATCTAATAGAAATAACTAAAATTAATCAGTCCATATCCTCAAGTTTTTGGCTACAATCAAACATTAGATAATGAATTTAGCTAATGATGTAATCTATGAAAATACTAAGGCCCGGTTTGTCTCCCATTATTTCAAAATATTATTTGCTACAGTAAAATTCTCCACCACACATTCACCCAATAAATTATTCTACACACAAGGAAGTGCTAGACGTACTCCACCAATTACTACATGGATTACTTCCTACTGACGTGGCTATTCTTTGAATATTCAACATAGCAAATAAAAAAAAAACCAATTAAAAAGGGGCCATTTTCTTAGAACCCGTCATTTCCATTCGCCTCCTCCACTCTGAAAAAGCCGGCGAATATGGAGCAGCACGTCGTCGGCGTCTTGGACGACAACAACCAGACTTCGACGAACCCATTATTGTTCCCCCCTTTTGAGTTCGACGTTGAGACATCCTGTTACGGAGACTGAGATGAAGGGGAAGCAGGCAACTCCCACACCGACAAATGCGACGCCGGGGACAACGTGGGGTAAGATGTTTTCAGTGTAATCTTCATTATGTGGCGTGAGGTGGGGTGGAGATGGTGATGGTTGTTACGGTGGCATGGGGTGGAGGTGGAGCTGGTAAGGTCAAATGCAGAAGCCTTTTGATGATACAACATTTGCTTTGAAATTGGTGAAATTAGTGACATTTCCTTGTGGATGTAACTATGAATAGGGTACAAACAAGAGCCCATGTAGAAGGCAGATTGTAGTTCTGGTTCTTGCTATGAATAAGTAGTAATGAAAATGATGAAGAAGCAGGAATGAATGAATCGTGGTATAGCTCGGTTTGTTTCATTTTTGTGGCTGAGTTGGTAGATGGGTGTAGAGAATCAAGTCACTGAAATGGAATTAAAGGCTGCAGGTCATAACCAAAATCACAGCAGCAGGTTTGGTGCAGAACTAAAGGCTGAATTAGAGGTTGAAGAAATGGAAGGTGGTGAACTCTTAACATCAAATCAGGAGCCTAACAAATGAGGAAGATTTGATCCTATGTTTATGCTATAAGATTGTATAGCTGTAGTCTGTTAATTGTAATTACTTACGCTAATGTAGGCATCCAGTGTAAATGCTCCTCTATATATAGCTGTACAGATTATGGCATACTCAAGGAAAAATAGAGGAATCAATTCTTTTACAATGGACAATATTATGTGTAAATCAGAACTTGCTTCTGAATTTATTGAAAATTGGATTGATTGTGGCAATTATATTGTTCTTAATTGTTGTTTCGTCTGGAAGAGTTGTATTTTTCAGACTTCACCGAATTGTTTACTTGGACTTGCTCAACACGTGATCATTTAACAGAGGGATTCGAAATTATCGACTTGATTATTTATGTGAAGCGCTGCCAGCGGGTGAACTAGCTAAAGAAAAAAAGAAACTTAGCTGATAAAAATGATACTCTAATTTTATTCAATGCCAACATGAACACTTAGGTTGTACAAGTGAAGTATATAAATACAAAGATTCAGTTGTAAATCAAATAAAAACAGAAATCCCATAAAATTTGGTTATGGTTTAACAATCTGATATGCTCTTCATTTGTTGCGTTGAAAGCTTGGTAACTTGAGAAGTTTGATAGCAGAGAATTCCTAAATATTTGGAGTTTGTTGAACTACCATGCTGATTTGAATGCAAATTTCATCTTTCAGAATCTATAGGCTCGATTGGATCATCATCTTGGTTTGAACTCGTTACAGTTAGATCTCCAAGATCACTCAACGTCTCTCCACTAACTGAGGCTAGATTGTGAGTCTTCCCCCAAGATTTTTGCAACAAGAGATCTTTTTGCAACCCTGAATTTCAAACTTGGCCAATCTACAACACTCCCGAGCAATGGCAATCAATCCCAAATCATCCAAGTCACCCACGTTCCCTAACATTGTTACCAACATCCAAAGCAAGCTCTTCCAGCAACGGAAGCCCAGAAAACACTTCAATCAAAGTCTGCACACTAATCCTTGCATCTTCTTGCGTAAATCCCTCATGTTCGGGATCGCCCCTCAAATTCGACAAGGCCGAGGTATCAGCTAAATGAAGAATTGCCAGTTTAGGAGAATTTATTGCTATAGATACAAGACCATCATCTCCAACATACCGAATGTACCTTGGATCAAATATACGCGCAACTCAAAATTGCCAGCGGGGAAGGCGTGGCGGAAGTAGTGGGCTATTATCCCAAACAACAAGATCTCTGGCGACTTCACAGATGGTTTCGTCGGATCGCGAGAGAGAGAGAGAGAGAGGGGGGGGGGGTATTTTGCGGGTTAGATTTCAGGGGGGTGATTTTGTTGGTGGGAGAGAGGGAGGAGTGCAAATTTGGGGGTTTGGGATTTTAGGGGTTGAAAAGGAGTATATCACGTCATTTTTTTTTTCAAACTCTTTGCCGTCATTTTTGAATATTCAACCCATGCCATGTCAGCTTGAAGTAAAGGTTTCGGGACGATATGGGAGTACATCTAGCTTTTTCCCTACACACAAACTAATAAAATTATTTTAAATTTCAACAACACATTCTCTAAAAAATACTATTCATTACTCAATTTCTTCTACAATAATGGGAGACAAACACACTAAATTTCATATAAAAAGACAGAGAAAAGAATAGAAAAATTAGGATATAGATCTTCAATTTATTCTCTAGTTCTTCTTTGTCTTGTTCTTGAATCTCTTGATGTTTTTTCTTCTTGTCTTCTTGAAGAATTGTGTTGAATTTTCCATTGCCTCTTGAACCGTTCTCCTTTCTAGAATTAGGTCTTACAGAATGTATTTATAGTATTTTGAAATTTTGGAAGGGATGGAGTCGTGTTGGGCCAAGAAAAGAGCCCAAAAAATTCAAAATATCATTTTTCTTGCCCAGCGGCGCCTCGGCGCCCACGATGCTGTTGATTTTCATCAATGGCGGCGCTATGGCTCCCAGTTTTGGATGAAAATTCAACACGCACGTCCTTTAATATTTTTATCATAACTTTTTCTCTCGGTATCTGATTGAGCCGATTCAAGATGAGTTGGAAATATAACTCTAAGTGCTACAACTTTTCTTCATATATAATTTTCCAATTCGAATGTTTGCTATGTAAAAAATAAGTCTCAATATGAGACTGAAAATTCGGAACATTATTTTTTATTAAATTGGGGTCGATTTCGATTATGAATACTTGGTTAGATTTCAATTAAAATGCACACACCTACTATTTATAAATCAAACCATTTATACATTTTTACAAAATATAAATATAGAGCATCACAAGTATTAAAGACTTCAACATTATCCTAGAATTAGGATGTGCAAGTTCATTGAGGGAGTTGAACATCATTATCAAATAACAAGATGTGCTATCTAGAATATTTGATAAGTTGAGAGGTGCCCAAAATTTTTCAAACTAAGCAAAATTAATAGAAATTTTCTAGTCCAACATTCAATCACTATAGTCTTCTTTGTTCACGTGGACGCTAAATTTAATATAATCGAACATTTTATTAGCGTCACTGAGTGAACATTTTCAATATCAAAAGGAACACTTTATTAGCTTCACTGAGTGAACATTTTCAATATAAAAAGACATTACATTCATTTTGAATGACTAAACATATTAAGGGCGTGTTCCGTAGAGATTAAAATCGGATTAAAATTGAAAAATTAGTCGTTATTGTTGACTTTTATTAGACGAGTGAGACCGAATAACGGCTATATTTTCAATTTCAATTGGATTTTAAGCTGTACCAAACATGCCCTAAGAGAGTTTTTGACATGACATGTATTATTTCGATTACAAAAATTAGTTGAAAAAAATTTTGTAAATTGATAGAATTCACAAAAAGTTAGGAAGTTGGGTGACAAAATAGAGATGCGCCGTTGGTGAACAAGACTCTAACCGTAAATAGGCTCATCTGGGTCGAGGAAATATGGGTACTATTTCTCAAGGTTCAAGTCTATCAAATCGTGGGCACTGGGCCGTTCAGTGTGAAAATTGCCAAAAGCTTTTCTCCTCCACCACCACCCTGCAAGATCATAGTGAACCAAATCCATCAACCAAAACTGTCATTTCCCGGGAACACCTTTCCATTTGTTAATTCTTCATCCCAGATCACAGGCCAACTCGCTTGAATATGGCGAGGAACTACGTGAGAGACAACGTGTCCTTGTCCAGATTCGGCGTGCTGGTGGCCCAGCTGGAATCTATAGTGGCTTCAGCAGCCCACAAGCCACCAGACCCACTTCTCTGCTTCGACCTCTTATCCGATCTCGTCTCCGCCATTGATGAGGAGCCCAAGGTTACTGTTCCTTTCATTCTGATATTTGCATATTAATGTTTCGCATTTTTCGAATTCTAGGAAATATGCTAAGCGATTCAGTTTCAAGGTGTTATTTTTTGATGATAACTGGGTAATTGGGTTCAAGCGTTTTCATTATGATTGTCATCCGTATTATTTTACATTTACTCACTTTGGAGCGATTATTAGTGTTTCAAAATCGAGATTTTGGTTTAATGAATTATTGGCAGCTGCGAGGTGCTTTAATTTGTAAAATAAAGCTGAATTCATTTAGGGATTGATGTTATTCTATTTTACTCTTCAAATGTAAAAAAAAAAAAAAAAATCATATTTGATGTTATTGGCAGCTGCAAGGTGCTTTAATTTGTAAAATAAAGCTGATTCATTTAGGGATTGATGTTATTCTATTTTACTCTTCAAATGTAAAAAAAAAATAATATTTGATGAAATCTGAAATCTTGGCAATTACATTGAGATTAAACTACTAAAAAGAAAGAGAACAAAATAAACTGCTCATTTGTTTTGGAAAATCTCGTTATCTATTGTGAAATTTTGATGAATCTTGGCTGTTGGGTAGTGCTTCAATTAGTAAAAGAACAGGATAACAACAATCTGGAAAATTGGTTTTTGGAAAGATTACTCTGTTGACGAGTTTCCATATGATTTCTGTTCCTTAAATTATATTAAGCCCCTGTTTGATAGAAATTATAATATGAATTTTTATCAAAGTCAAAGTCAAAGTCAAAGTCAAAATTAATTTTAACCACATATTTCATGACTCACGACTTTTTAACCACACATTTAATTAACTTTTATAAAAATCTGCTAAAAATCTCCACCAAATTGGGGTAATTCCGTTTGAAATTGCTCTCTGCATTTTTTGCTTTTGTATGGTTTCAAAGTGAGGTTTTCTATTGATGGATTTGCGATATTTCTAGGAATCTATATTGCTTTGGCAAAGGAAATGTGAGGACACACTTTATTCTCTACTGGTGCTGGGTGCTCGAAGGCCAGTGCGGCATTTGGCATCAGTGGCAATGGCGAAGATTATATTAAAGGGAGATGCAATTTCGATATACTCCAGAGCTAGCACCCTTCAGGGATTTCTCTCTGATGGCAAGAAGAGCGAGCCTCAGCGAGTTGCTGGTTCATGCTTATTCTCTTTCTTATACACTTTGATTTTTATTATTTTCCCAAGTTGTAAAAAATGCCAATTCTAGACTGTTTTGAGTTCAACAGAATTTTATCTAAATATTTTTGCAATATTATGATTTTGTATGTTCTTTTCAATTTATTCCTATGAGGCATTAATACTACCTTTTTAGGATAGGTAACGACGTTCTATAATATCTACTTTTCAGTACTGGCCTTGCATGGGTTATAACGACTGAGCTTACGGGGCTCCAACAAACCTCTCTATATCTCAAGGGGAGCTTAAAATATGCCTTGTTGTGCTGTTATATAGGTCTTAAGAGAATTGCATCCTGTAACTAATCCTCGAGAATCTTGCTCAATTCACTACCTCCTTGGCTCTTTAGCTAAGGATGACTTTGGTCAGTAAAATATGGGGAGGAAAGGAGAGAAACCAAGAGCAGAGGTGAACAACATCCATTCTTTCATTTGACAACAAAGGAAATGTAGGAGTATTTCCCGAAACGGGATTAACATGCGAGAGGTTTTTGAAAGAGATTTTTTTTAAAATTAATGTAAAATTTCTTATGATCGTGTCGATTGAAAAGACTAATTTGCCTGTTCAAAAAGTACATGTTTAGATCTATAAGAAAATCTATTGGCATATGGATGCCTACAACCTCTTTCTTTTGGCTTGTTTTACCCTATGGCACAAGGAGAATTGGTCCATTTTGAGTTCCTCATTGCTCTTCCAAACAATGAGAGGAAAAGTATGTCCCTCCCTTAGTGGAAGAAGACTTTGTGTTTCTTCCCTATCTTCACCATCTTTTATCGAACATAGTTAAATGACGATCATAGTTTCTGCACAAGAACTTATAAGTCTCTACCATATCTACATTTCCAATAGATATACCCTTACAGGCCTCATTTGGGGTAACTTTTCATAAAATATGGTCTTCTGAATACGAAGATGTAGACCAAAATTAATATGGATCGTGGTGCCTCCAAAAGTTTTGATTTCCTTGGACCTCTGGTGAAAAAGGATTTACATAATTAAGTCTAGATTTATTGAGAATAAGAATAAGGTTATTATTGAAGGAATAGAGCTAAAACAATTGTTGTAGGCAACCACATGTTAAGACACCCTCCTCCAACTGGCAGTAGAAACATGGAGCTTGTGGATGGATTTTGTAGAACTTATGTGGTTGAGAGGCTGGAAAAGATCACTTGGTAACAAAGCCAAAATTGTGGTGTGAATGCAGGAGCACGAGGTGATAATGTTCCTAGAACGTTTTCTACAATATAATAAAATAAGAGAGAATTGCTAAATTCTTTCTTGAGTCTGTTAATCTTGATATCGCGTAACAATAACATGGGGTGCTATCCCACTCCCCTCTCATGATCATCTTGGATGGTATAGATTTATTAATTAATTAATTTTTTTGGCGCACAATTAGTTGATTCAAAGACTATTCAAGAGGACGCACCGGGATTCGTAAGGGTGAAAAGACACAAGATGGAAGTTCGAAATTAGAAGTTGGCTGATTAAGTATATGCTTTTTTTTTACTAACGCATAATTTAAGCTCTGATTGCACATAGCTTCTTATATTAGTTTCCCTTGACATTCTTTGTTTTTTAGTCGGTAATCTCAGCCTTTTGCTTCCTTTATTGAGGGCTTCTGCCTTAAACAGAGAAGAAAAAGAATGGCTTTTCTTGTCCATGTATTTGAATTCCTAGATGGACATTTGACTCAAATTTCAATTTTTTGGCAATTTTACGTGTAGGTGCTGCACAATGCTTGGGGGAATTGTATCGCTATTTTGGGAGACGGATTATGTCTGGATTACTTGAAACAACTAGTATTGTTGCAAAGCTACTAAAGTTTAATGAGGTAATCATATTCTTATTTCCCGTAGATTTCTGCTTCATTTGACATGATGCCCTTTCATTTCCTGTGGCAAACTTCACATGTTGTCTTGTGTATAATATTATCGATGATATTTAAGAATTTTGTCTAAAAAAAAAGAAAACAAGAATGAGAACGAGGTAGAAAAGATCCAAAAGTGGTATAAGCTCTCTCAAAGTTGGTGGTTATACTCAGGTTCTGTGAATTGTGTGGAACATGTTTTCTTGCCCAGGCTTTGTGTAAAAATTGTGAGCTGTGGGTGAGGTGAGGTGATGTGATGTAATGATATTATTTAGGCCCTGAGTTGCACAGGGACCATGATTCGTGAGGTAATGTATAGCTTTTGAATATCTGCATGCATATATAATACACTCGTCATATCTAGAATCTTGTGAACTTTTTCAATTTGGATTCAAACGTGTAACTGATCCCAGATTATTTGAATCGACTTCTTATCAATCCTTGAGATGTTCAAAGTTACATCCCTAATACATAATACCCATGAGTTTTTCTGTTGTCTTTACTAATCCTAGGACTATTGAATCTAAACTTAACTGGATATTTAATTAATTTCTTACAAGTACCTCTACTAGACTTCTTTCCTTCTTAAGAAGCAAAAGGATATATTTTCCATGGGTGAGTTCGTAGACAATTGATACTATGAAGAATTAATATGAGTTGTCTCAAGAAAAAAAAGGGGTGCAGGTGCATGTCAATTTATAGTGATCTATATTGGATCCTTTGTTTCCTAAAGGATGACTAACAACAATCTAGAATACCAGAAAGTCTAAATCTCAGGAGTATATGAAGTACTCAGAAACTCAACCAAACTTAGTATTTCTCAATGGAACATCAAGGTACACTTGAATTTCCAAATAGGGTTTGTACTAGATGCATGAAGTCTCCCATTTCTTCTTCTCCAAAGGCCACATAGTGCAATTAAGCACTAACTTCAATGCTTGCCTCAGAGAAACTTAGGCTTTGATATGGTTATTATAGCAAGATATCTTTCTTTCCTTCGTACTTGCATCGCATATTCTACCTACATGTGTTAATCTGCCACTGCCAGTGATGTGTTCCATTCAAGAGTTTTATCAGCAAAAGCTGTAGATGACACATTATTATGATCTTTATCGTCAAGGAATTGTGTTGCAGATGTTTTCATCTCCTAATGATTCTGAACACAGTTTTTGAATTATGGTTTGTTTACATATTAATCATCATTGCTTCAGGATTTTGTGAGAGAAGAAGCTTTGCACATGCTTCGCAATGCTTTGGAAGGTTCTGGTGGGAATGCTGCTGCTTCTGCTTATATGGAGGCATTCCGTGTCATTACGCGGATAGGAGTTGGTGATAAATATTTTACTGTTAGAATAACTGCTGCAAGATGTCTGAAAGCCTTTGCAGACGTTGGAGGACCAGGCTTAGGGAATGGGGAACTTGAGAATTGTTTAACTTACTGTGTCAAGGTTCTTACTTTTGTTTCATGCTCCACTTATGCTTCATTTCCTTATCCTTTGCTTAGAAATTAAATATTGCAGTTTAAATTCTGTTTATTATAGGCCCTTGAGGATCCAGTGAAATCTGTGAGGGATGCTTTTGCCGAGACATTGGGAGTGTTGCTTGCTCTTGGAGTGAATCCTGATGCACAGGTATGTGTTCCTTTTGTACAGATTTCTACGTGATTTCTTGTGTCATCCTTATGGTTTAGCATTCTTGTCATTAGGTGCATCCAAGGGGAAAAGGTCATGTTACTCGTAAGAAACTTGAAGGGGGTTTGCAGAGGCACTTAGCTTTGCCATTTGTAAAAGGTATATTAGTGGCGTGTTTGGGCCTCTAGGATGTTGTTAAGTTGCTATTTCAAATTACTGGTCCGATCACATGAATTTAGCTGGCCTTTTGTGCTCTTTTATACTCTGCAACTTATTTATGATACAAATTTATTTTTCATCACAAAAGTGGGGAGTGCCAAATGCTAAACTTTTCTTGTTTCATTTTTACTTTTACTTTCACTTTCTTTCATTTAATTGATGACATCTTGGTGAACTTTTTACACCCACCCCCACTATTGATTAACTTCTGTAGAAAACCCCGTTTTAATATGGGAATATTATAATATCTTTTGTATGGGGTAATTAGAGTTGTTTTAGGAAATAACTTTTTCCTTTCTTAGGTTAGAATATTTTCCTTTTCTTCATCTATTGTACTGTAGTATATAATGAGGCAAGGATTGTAAGAACGAAGTGATTGTGGGTGAATATACAATCTTTTCATTATTTTCTATTTGGTATCAGAGCCCGGGTAAATTCAAGCCCGGCTATCAATGGTAGAAACAACTGCCGACAGTCAGAAATCAACATCCTTCGAATCCGGAACTAGTGAGACCGGATCCGTTCCCACCATGACCTCAATCGGAGTTGATAACTCCTCTTTTCAACTCAAGGTCGAGAAACTCGATGGTCGAAATTATAGAGAATGGGCTCAATCCATTAAGCTAGTGGTCGAAGGGAAAGTAAGAATTGGGTACCTTATCGGCGACACGAAGCAGCCTGCAGACCCCGTTCTTCTACAAAAGTGGAAGTCTGAAAATTCTATGGTTATATCATGGCTCGTCAACTCCATGGTGCCGTCAATCAGCAAAATCTACCTCCTCATGCCAACTGCGAAGGATATATGGGACAGTGTTCGAGAGATGTACTCCGACATGGAGGACTCGTCACAAATTTTCGAAATTAAAACCAGACTTTGGAAGGCGAAGCAAGGAGAACGGAGTGTCACGGAATCCTATACAGAGATGTCATCTTTATGGCAGGAATTGGACCTTAGTATGGAGGAACAGTGGGATTGCCCTAGTGATGGTGTTCGATATAAGAAGAGGGTAGAGATTGAACGCTAGTATGAATTCTTGGCTGGGATGGACAGAGAACTTAACGACGTTAGAGGGAGGATTCTCAGCCGCCGGCCACTGCCATCCACCAGCGACGCCTTCGCTGACGTTCGACGCGAGGAGAATCGCCGGCTGATAATGTTGAAGAAGCAAGGAATTGGGTCTGAACATGATAGATCGGCCTTATTATCTGATTCTATTGGGCTGCTGGATCAAATGAGAATGGGCCTAAAGGGGTTGCTGCTAGAATGAGGAGGAATTTAAATGATGGGCCTAAATCTTTTGGGCCTGATTTGGGAGCCCAGATACTGAGAGGCACAAACAAATTTGGACCCAGCCCAAGATAACAAACGGGTCGTCTTTGGTGTGACCACTGTCGGAAACCTGGACATAAAGAAGATATGTGCTGGGATTTGCATGGAAAACCACCCGATTGGAAACCACAACAAAACACCATAAATTTCGTCTACCAAGCTGCAGTCAATTCTTCTGAAACACTGAATTCCATGTCCGACAGTGCCTTTAGTCCTGCACAGCTAGAACAACTTCAAAAAATGTTCTCGAATTATCAATCACCTAGCTCTTCATGTTCTTTAGCTCACAGAGGTAATATCCTGACAGGTCTTAACACCACCTTACTCTAAAAAATACCATGGATTGTCGATTCTGGTGCGTCCGATCATATGACGGGCTCACATCACCTATTTGTGTCATACTCACCTTGTGCTGGCAATCTTAAAGTTAAAATTGTAGATGACTCTCTATCTCCAGTGGTTGGAAAATGGAGTATTCGACTCTCTAATTTTATTACACTCGAAAATGTTCTACATGTTCCAAATCTATCCTATAATTTATTGTCCATCAGTCAATTAACAAAGAGTTCACATTGTTCCGCTAATTTTTTTCTTTCCTACTGTCTTTCAGAACCTATCGTCGGGGAAGACGATTGACAGTGCTAAAGAGTGTGAGGAACTCTACTACTTTGACGAGACTGATGTGAGTCAACAATGTCGATTTGCTAGTTGTGACTCTGTTTTGGTTGCTAGGAATAATGAACTTCTATTATGGCATTATCGAATGGGTCATCCCAATTTTCAATATCTCAAACATGTATTTCCTTCAATATTTTCGAATAAATCATTTTTCGATATGAAATGTGACATTTGTGAGCTTGCAAAACACCACCGTTCATCATTCCGAAAATCCGTGTACAAACCATCTAGACCATTCACCTTAATGCACAGTGATCTGTGGGGACCTTCTCGAACCCCTAATCGTACCATACTACTCTGTTGGGTCTATATGCTAAAAGAAAAAACTGACGTCCGTTCTGTGTTCATGACTTTCCACTCCATGGTCTAAAATTCAATTTCACACTAAAATTCAAATCCTGCGTACGGACAATGGCACATAATATTTCAATCGTACACTTCGAACCTATCTCCAAGAAAATGGAATAATCGACCAGAGTTCTTGTGTTGACACTTCCCAACAAAATGGGATTGTCGAACGAAAAAATTGACATTTACTTGAGGTAGCCCGGGCCCTACTGTTCACCACAAATATGCGCAATACGTTTTGGGGAGATGCTATCCTTACAGCAGCCTACCTCATAAACAGAATGCCTAGTCGCACTCTCAATTTCTCGACTCCCCTGCAAAAATTCCAGGATTTTTTTTCCTAAAACTCGCCTCATTTCCGATCTATCTCTTAAAGTGTTTGGATGTACGGCCTTTGTCTACATTCATTCCTATCTTCGTACCAAACTCGAACCTCGAGCAATTAAGTGTGTATTCATTGGTTACTCACCTACGCAAAAGGGGTATAAATGCTATGACCAAATCACAAAGAAAATATTTATCAGCCTTGATGTCACTTTCTTCAAAAACGAACCCTACTTCCAAAAAACCTCTCTTCAGGAGGAGATCCTTAGTGAAAATGAAGATCGGTTCTTGAAAATACCTCTTGATCTTGGTCCCTCCAACTCTATCCCAAACACTGAATCTAACATGCCATTTATAGAAGACAACTTAGTCGCAGGGGGAGAACAGAAAGAACAACATGACAAAAAGATGATTATTTACTCACGGAAGCTAAAATCAAAGGACAAGGAGAAACTCACACTCGAAGCACCAAGAGAGTCAGAACCGGTGATAGTTCGAAATCCTCATGAGCTGTCTCCTAAATCACATGACACTGATGATCTACCTATTGCCCTTAGGAAACAAACTCGGTCATGCACTCTTCACCCTATCTCAAAAGTTGATGCTTATAATACTCTGTCTTCACAATTTCGGACATTTGTATCTAACCTTGATAGCACAGAAATTAAAATAAANTGAAGGAAACAAAGTATGCAAACTGAAAAAAGCTCTATACGGTCTCAAACAGTCACCTAGGGCATGGTTTGACGGATTTGCAAACGTGTTAAAAAGACAAGGATACCAACAAGGGCAATCAGATCATACTATGTTTTTCAAATTATTTGTGGATGAGATGAAGACTATTCTGATTGTCTATGTTGATGACATAATTCTCACCGGAGATAATACAGTTGAGATAGAGAAGGCTAAAAGGACGATTAGCTGTCGAATTTGAAGTGAAAGATTTGGGACAAATGTGGTATTTTCTAGGAATGGAAGTAGCTAGATCAAAGAAGGGAATCAACGTGTCTCAACGAAAATATGTTCTAGACCCCCTTGTTGAGACTGGTATGCTTGGATGTAAACAATGTGATACTCCTATGGTCCACCAGAAGAAAAACAGAGAATATTGGTGAATTTGTTGAAAATGAGAGAGATCAAAAAATAGTGGGAAAACTAATCTACCTATCTCACACTAGACCAGATATTGCATTTGCAGTAAGCGTGATAAGCCAACACATGCATGCTCCAAGGAAAACTCATCTAGAGGCAGTATACAGAATTCTGAGATATATCAAAAGTTCCCCTGGAAAAGGACTGTTATTCAAGAAAAATGAAAAAAGAGAGAAATATTCACCGATTCTGATTGGGCAGGAGCAGGAGCAACAGAAGATAGGAGATCAACCACTGGCTATTGTACTTTTGTATGGGGAAACTTAGTTACCTGGAGAAGTAAGAAACAAAATGTAGTAGCCAGAAGTAATGCAGAAGCAGAGTTTAGAGCAGCTGCTCAGGGAAAATGTGAAGGCTTATGGTTAAAGAAACTTTTGAATGAGATACAGATTCCAACAAAATTCCCTATTAAACTCTATTGTGATAACAAAGCGGCTATCAGCATCTGACTCAACCCAGTTCAACATGATAGAACCAAACATGTAGAGGTGGACAAACACTTCATCAAGGAAAAAGTTGAAAGTGAAACTATCAGCATGATCTACGTCCTTACCAGAAACAGACTACAAACGTATTCACCAAAGGTCTACAGAAACAAACATTCGATGAGTGCATTTACAAGTTGGATATGATCAATATTTATGATCCAACTTAAGGGGGAGTGCAGAAAATCCCGTTTTAATATGGGAATATTATAATATCTTTTGTATGGGGTAATTAGAGTTATTTTAGGAAATAACTTTTTCCTTTGTTAGGTTAGAATATTTTCCTTTTCTTCATCTATTGTACTGTAGTATATAATGAGGCAAGGATTGTAAAAACGAAGTGATTGTAGGTGAATATACAATCTTTTCATTATTTTCTATAACTTCCCATCTGAAAGATGATTTCTGTTCGTCCCTGTCTAACCAAGACAAATATCCAAAAGAATTGATTCAACTCTGTCATAGCATTATAACTTGTAAAATTTGTTGTCAAATCCTGCAGTTTCTTGGTAAAAATCATTATGGCTTTCTTTATCTCTAACTGCATTCTGATACAGTTCTGAAGATATTTTCCTCACTATAAGCTTCGTTTTGTATTGGTATATGGACAACCTTGGTATTATTGTTTTACAAGTTTCCTTTTGTTTTAAGTGTGGGATTCGTCTTTGTTGAGGCGAAATTGGTTGTATAGATTAACTTTGTATGATTCCCACTTTAATGTTGCACAAGATTGGTAATTTTGATATCAGGTTATATTTTTAGTTTTTTCTACCCCTTTAATTTTAGTTACCCTCCTGATAAATGGTAAAATTTGCAGCTAGTGGGCTTCGCTCGAAGGACCTGCGGATTGGCGTTACCTTATCATGGGTTTGCTTTTTACAGGTGGGTAACACGTTTAAACATAATTTATAGCTTCCTGGCCCCACCACAAAATAGAAAGAAAAAGGAATCGGCTTCTTGGTAAGAGCCTTTGGGATTTGAATATGAAAACATGTGATAACCTGCACACCCAATGTGTTCGGCGCGTTGTTGAGTATGGTTAAGTTTGGTTATTGATTTTTCTTGAACTCTTTGTCAATTTATTGGTTCCTTGTTCTTCAGTGATTTCCTCCTTTCTTTAACAATTGGGACACCAGAAATAAAAAGAATAAGTGGGCATGAAATTGGTCATTGGGACGACTTCTTCCCTTTTCTGTTGTAAATATCTTGGTGCAACAATAGATCACTTGGTTGGGTTCGAACATGAAAGCTTATCTGTGCCTGCTTAGGTAAGGCAGCATAATTGTAATCTTTTCATGCCCAGCAAGTGGTACGAGTCTTGTTTCTTGTGCACAGAGTAAGCAAAAATGACTATATTATTGGTGTGACGACCACCTTCTCTTAAAGAATATAATATTTTTATTCAACTTATATGCAAAATGGCCTCTATTTATATTGTTTTAGTTTAAGGGATTAGTGCAGTAGCTTGTAAACACCTTTATGGGCATCTGTTTGGTCCAATGCTCATAGTTTAGAGATGGGGATTGAGAAAAAATGAGGATGGAAGTTACTTTGGTGATGCGAAGCAGGGCTATAACTTGGTGTATCAATGAAGAGATGCTGACATTTCGAGAACAGTTGTTTCCCAATAGTTTAGTTTGGAAGGAGTGCTTGTTCTCTTTATGGTTTAAGGTTTCCACTGCCTTTTATGGGACTGCTGCTGCTGATACGCTGTAGTTGGAAGAGCCATTTGCATTAATATTGTTGTAATTTATTTAGCATTGTTCAATTGCTGGGTACTCCTTTTCCATCTTTGGACTTTTCTCTACACATGAGAATTCTTATTTTCCTGTAAGAAGTTCATGTACTGAGTTCTCTTATTTTCTTCTTCAGATTTGTACTTTGCTATACACATGAGAATTCTTAGTTTTCTGTAAAAAGTTGATGTACCGATTTTTCATTATTTTCTTGTTTAGGTTTGTTTATTCAACATATTGATGCCATTTTTATGTTTCTAAACCTCTCTACGTAATGAATATTCATTTAAGGTTCCGAAGAGTGGGATGGGCCCATTTATGCTTCTTGTAGAACTGAATACTGCATTTCTGTGCTTTACAATGGAATGAAGATAATTAATATTCAATTCCTCATGTTGAAAATTTGTTAAACTTACTGGGTCCAGTAAGTATCTATGTTAATTTCCTTTGATTCAATGGTGTTTTCATCTTTTCAATTTTATCTGCAGGCTATGTGTTTGAAATATCTTCGCCCAGACAGTGAGCTTCAAGACTGTGCTCTCCAGGTCATGGACATGCTTCGTTCAGATACATCTGTTGATGCTCAAGCACTGGTATACTGTGATATATTATGTGGCTTTACGACAACGCTATCTTTTCTCGTAGATACTATCTTTACATTTGTGTGATATATTCATCACATCATGGCCATATTTCTCAAACGTATTTGTTGTATTATACTTCGTATTTCATGATTGGAAGACAGAATAACAAATTGGAGCTAATGAGCAAAGCATGTGTAAACAAGAAATTTGACTTAATGGTCTGAGGCACCTTGATCATAACCTATAATACTGCTTCATTAGGCTTCTTGTTTACCAACTTAGATATAATGTGACAAATGAAATAAATCTGTACTACTCAAAAATTAAGAAAAGAAATACATATCTAGAAAAGAGATGCCATTATGTAATGTAGAAACATTTACTATCAACTCCGGAAAGATAATAACCTTGAAATGATTAGGTAAAAATCTTTAAAATACAAATCATAATTACAGTTGAATAACAAAAAATTGGACATATTTTTGAAATATGCTGGCACTAAATTGAAACATTAATGGTGCATGGAATTCAGCCCTTTTTATTTGTGATAAGTTTATCTTTAGTTGTTGGCAAAGTAGTGATTTCTATTGGTTTAACGACCCCATTTTTCTCTGCAATAATTACATTTCCTCTTAACTTCAGTGCTACCTTTCATTCTTAACAAACTTATTATGAACATGGCTATGCATTGTTTTTCCTTCCTCTCCCCCCTCCCTCCCTCCTGGAGATAGAGAGTAATGATGAATCAGTACTTCATAGAGAGTGGCCGCAAGAGAACTCCTTTTGCCAGTATTAATTAACATAAAAGAATTGTAATGGTCCATCCAAGTACTTCAACCACTTGATATTGAAAATTAAATAGAAAGTGATAATTTCTTTGAAAAACTGATTTATTTATTTAATTTTTTGGTTAAAGGAGATTATCGATGAAAACAGAACTGGATGATAAACCTGAGGGGAGTCGACCGGTCAGGCGCGTGGTCCCTGTGTGAAAACAGATCTGGATGATAAACCATGAGAACCTGTTCCTTTTCCCCACTTTGAATTGACCGACCAACCGCTACATTCACTAGCAATAAGCATAGAGAGAGTGATTTTAAAGGATTCTTTAACCTCTCTCTAGCCAAATAGAGAATGTGCTAGCTGGATGCCATCAATACACATCCTTAAAATTATAGCTTTCTTCAATACTGGAAACGCTGCTTGCTATATCAACAAGACAATAACTCACTAATGCAACAAAAATTTCAATTATTTCACCTCGAGTATAGTGCCATTGATGCAAGTATTGTGCAATCAAAGGCCTGTTTTGAGTCCCATTTTGGTGTAGAATGCATTTTGGAATTGTAGATTGATGGAAAGTGGTTAAAATTTAAGAACAAGTTTTTGGGTTGCGTGTAATATTATTTTATAGAAGAATTGTGGTTGAAAAGAAGAGAGAAAAATATATTTTAAAAAAAATGGGATCAAACAAGGGCTAAATAAATAAAAAAATAAGGAAAAGAATAAGGAAAAGGAGCCAAAAAGATTGCCAATAGAATCCAGAGAACCATGGACAGGCTACATTCATTTGGGAGAAAAATCTTCAATGCAAGAACCATTTAGTGGGTTTTAGTTCTTTGTCCATGGACATCCCAAGCATCAGGACACACGGTTGCATGTAGTTAGCTCACATGTTATGAATCATTAGTGTTTTTTTCTTGAGAACCAGACAATGCTATTACTCTTTGGGAAAATTTCAAGGACTGTGGGCTGAAATTGGATGCATCTCTTTTACCAGAAAAAGGAAAAGAAGAAAGACTGAAGGTTTTTCAGTTGATGTCCTAACCATATATTAATTTTCCTATACACCCTGTTACCCAGACAGAACCAGATTTAGATGACCACAATATAAGACATTATGATTGTCCTAAAAGAGAAGCATATTCTAAAAGGCTTATACACTGAACAGAACTCCGAAAAAGTATTTAGATATATATACTTTATCTTTTCCAAAACCTTTCTTGTCCATTTCTGGAGCTGATTAATAACCCTTTAAATGTGTGGTTACATTGAAATAGTAATCAAGATGACATCAGCCAAAGTATATTAACTTTTCATTGATAGAAATTGTACATGTATTTTTCAGAAAAGAATTAAACGAACCATGCTATATATTTTTCACAACTGGGTATATAAATAACTTGAATGAAATCATCATAAGGATCTCTGCATACTTCTCTTTCTGATCAAATGACTCAGATATGTTGATGATTGGTGTGTCTGCTAAAGCTTTTCTTCCCCCATAGTTCTTCATTCTTATATTTTTTCCTGAGCAGTAAAATATCATCCCAATACTGTGCATTTTTTAAATATTTGGAACATGATACAAATTTGCCAGTTCCCCAAATTATGCCTGAATTCTTTTCGTTTCACCATGATCCTATCACAAGGGTATTATAAATCTTTAACAAATGACTATTTTTCTTTTCCCCTATCACTGGACTCCTTCCCCGCCTCTCACCATCCCTTATATCAATCCCATTTTTTGGTATTAGTGTGTTTGGGAGTTTTTTTTTTTAAAGCTCTAGTTTAAAAGCAAAAACACTTCTTAAAATAATAGTTGTTTGGCTGCAATCAAGAAGTTCTTGTTGACAGAAGAGAAGGAAAAACTTTTTTTTTAAAGCTGATTAAGAGAAGCTCAAAATTCTGAGCTTCCTGAAAAAGCTCTACATTCTACAGGAAATTTAAATGCTCAGTTGATGAAATGTTTAAATTAACAATATATATTATCTTTATTATTTTAATAAAATGTCTAATAAACCCTACACGTCCATATTTGAAAAAAAAAATATTCGACTCCTAACCCTACACACACAATGACATCTTTTAAATTTTTTTCTTCAAAAAAAGTCTAAAATGCCATTTTGTTGCTAATAAAAATATTTGACAAAATTTCAATTAATTATTACTGAGATTCCTATTGCAAATTTGTTTGGTAAATTCATTTCATTGCTATAAAATATATTTGTTGTGTGTAGGGTACTGCATAATTCATAGATCATCAAAAAAGATATTGTGAAATTTTTAAATTGATTAGGGACCTACACAAAATGTATATTATTTAAACAAAAAATTTTAAATAATGTGATTTTGTACTAAAATAATTGTGCCATGATAATGTTATTGAAATATATTTTTTAATAGATTTTTAGGATATAATAAATATGTAATGTTTAGTCAAATAAATATGTAGGATGTACAAGTCAGAAATTAAAAAAGTACTTTTATTGTTAAGTTGTCAAACAATCAATTCAGTGTTCACAACACTTCGGATCGCCAACTTAATGGTCGAAAACTTGGTAAAACTGGTGTTCTTCAAAAAATTTTACTCATGAAATGAAAGCACTAGATTTAAAAGCTCTACTGACAACAATTGTGCCAAACGGACCTTTAGTAGCTGTTAATGTAAGAAAAGAAAATGAATTATGAGGTTAAACATTCTGTCTGAATCAACTGATCTTATCTCGGTTAATGGATGAAATGAAGACTTAAATGGGTAGGTTTTCCATTTTCAAAATTATATAATGCTCTCTGACGATAAACTACCATGTTTGGGTCTATAAACCTTTATTGAATTTTTTACAACTTCTTTCTGTCCTCTTCACATGGTAAAATGTTTGGGTCTATAAACCTTTATTGAATTTTTTATAACTTCTTTCTATCTCACCACATGGTAAAATATGTCTGTGCATCTCAATTTATTGCATTCTGCAAAATAAAGCTCCTGATTTATCTCTTGGTGGTTTGAAGGCTTGTGTTCTATACGTTCTGCGAGTAGGTGTAACCGATCAGATGAGTGAACCTACTCAGAGAGGCTTTTTAGTTTTTCTTGGCAAGCAGGTATTTTTCCACAGTAACCCTATTTTTCTCTCATCCTTTTTGTAGTTCTTTTGACACACTAAATTTTCTGTTTTCATATTTTGGTGCCTAACAAGGACAGTTTTTGCAGCTCCAGTCTTCTGATTCTACCCCTTCTATGCGGGTTGCTGCTTTACGTACTCTAGCATACGTGTTGAAAACATTGGGGGAGGTGAATCATTTTGGTTGCTTTACTTCTAGCTGCATCATGTTGAAAGTCTTTGTTGTAAAATTGTTTTCTCATTGGTCACGGAAAAGAATTCTCCAAATATATTGGGCACCATACATGACTTGTATTTGTCAAAAGTATTATCTTTTTTTTATTTTTATTTACTGCAATTTTTCTGATAACAAATAGGGGGCTGAACTCTGCTTCCATCCCCTAGGATTTGGGGATCGTAAGGAAAAATATTAGAAAAGATTATGTTTTTTTTGTCAACAAGAATACCGGCAAAAGCATTACAAACGGATAATTTCTTGTATTGCATACTTTCATCCAGAATTATATTCATTTTTACATTTTGAAGGATCCACATGGTTTTTCTCATGTAAAGAAAGCTGCATTGCTATATAATAAGAGCCTGTTTGGTGTACATTAAAATGATATAATGCATTTTTTTGAAGTGAAGTGATGGGGAATATGTGGTTGAAAAAGAAGGAAAAGTTATTAATATGATGAAAAATATTATTTTATTGAAGAATGTGTGGTTGAAAATGCGAGAAGAATATGAATGAAAAAATAATGTTAGTGAAGTGATGGGGAATATGTGGTTGAAAATAAAGGAAAAGTTATTGATGTGATGAAAAATATTATTTTATTGAAGAATATGTGGTTGAAAATGAGTAGAAGAATGAGAATGAAAAAAATAATGTGGGTCAAATGGGGGCTAATTAAGTATTTGCTGCTCAAATTGATTCCTATATGTCTACAGTTTTTAGGAAACATGCCTTTTTTGTTTTTAATTTAATTTTACAAGATGGAGAAAGAGTTTTACGCCTAATAACTGTTCTTGCTACTTCTGGTTTACTCATTTTTGGTACATAGGTGTTTTGCACCCTCAGTTTCTATCTGGAATCTCTTTGCAGTTCTACTTGATTTACTTGTTTCATTCCTCTAAATTAAACAAGAATATAAAATATGACTGATTAAATATTTACTGTCATTTAATGTTTCTATCTGGGACCTCTTTGCAAGTCTACTTGATTTACTTGTTTAAGTCCTCTAAATTAAACAAGAATATAAAACATTACTTTGATGAAATACTATCTTTACATCATTTATTTAATTATAACAAGTTTACTGTTACGCTGACCAGGTAATGATAATGCTTCGGTATGCTCATTGCAGGTTCCACTTGAATTCAAGGAAGTTCTTGATGACACAGTTGTTTCAGCACTTTCCAATAATTCACAATTGGTAAGCTTCTGATTTTTTGGTCTTTCATTTTGAAAGTAAATGTTCAAACGCCTCTTAACTTTAAAGTAAATAGATAAATTTATAAAAATGTGGTCATTTTCTAGTGCCCTTGCTATTTTAGTGAAATTTGATGAATACCACCATCTATAAAAAGTTCATGCATGAACCAAAAATTGGCAAGCACATGTTCCCCTGTGAATGCATTAATCTGGTAACTGAAAAACAAAACTCTCTTCCCCGCGGGTCTGTTTATCTGTTACATCCCACTTGGAGTTTTAGAATTCTCAAGATCTTGCTTCACTTAGAATTCAGAGTTCTATTTTTTGCTGTTATGAAATCTTTTCTTTCTTTTAGGCACACCATCTATCTGTAGATGCTTTTCGACCAGCTCATTACACTTGAAACACCCATGCTTTCTATGGTCACAGATCCTCTGTATCTACTCTATATGAATGATTCTTCTTTCAATACTCTCACAATGATTTAATTGGAAATTACTTGCATTGGACTGAGCCAACTGGAAGTAGGTTTGCTGGTATTGTGTGTAACCTCTGTTTTTGCGAACTCTATAGATAGATAGCATGAATTCTCAACATGTCTTTCCATTATTAAGAGTTTGTTTTGGATGAGAATTGGAAGGGTCTTTGGTATGGCACAGTACCTGACCAGGACCTTAGCATTAGCTATTGAGCTAGAAGTGGAACTGGACCAATTGCATCCAATCCTTGTCTGGGATAGTGTAGGTGGTAGAAAAGGTCTTGAAGTATGACAAGACTGCTTCATGATTGTTGAGGTGTTGAATACTGGAGATTTGAAGGGATAATGGACATCGAGATGGAAGCAATGGCATTCTCATTTCTTGGGTTCTCTCCATCCCCCAGTCACAGAAAGTGGAAAGCCATTTTTTTTGGTTCATATTCTTCTTGATTTTATTTTCGTTTCTTTGGGAAGATTTCATAATTAATCTTTGTATCGTATGAGGCTTATGTCTCTTTTCAGTATCTGTACACATCACATGGACAAGTGTTGGCACATTAGATGGAACTTCTATTTTCTGTTAGGAAGGAAGGTCACTCTTCTGTTTTCTGCAAGACAATGTGGCATAGCGCACTGTAGTTAAAATTGTCATAGTTGCTTTACATCCTTTACTCTTGATGCATACATCTCTTCAAATTTTGTCACTGATTTGCTTTTATATTAACATCATTACAAGTGATACTTTTTTTAGGTACGACATGAGGCTGCATTGACACTTCGTGCATTAGCCGAGGTTGATCCCTCCTCTGTTGGTGGCTTGATTTCTTATGCAGTGACAATGCTTAGTGCAGCGAGGGAAAATGTGTCCTTTGAGAAGGTAAACCTATGTTAATGAATGAAAACAGAAATTAAGAATCTGGAAGCAAGTGGTAATGAATAGGAAGAGGATAAATAATATGCAGATTTTCATTGACTTGCATTTGCAAAGATGATTGGTTATTGATTTGGTATCTTTGATAATAGGCAAAAGGAGAATAGGTAGTCATGCTAGAGGTGAGAGATGGAATAACAATATACTAGATAGGAAGAAACACTGTCATGTGTCCCTCGCTATTTTCAAAATTTATATCAGATATATCTCTGCCCTCCTTTTTACATTGATGGGAACATATTCTTAATACTTTCTTTGTGCTTTTGAATCATCTTTACTTACAAAAACTTATCTTGAACATAAACTTTACTTTTAACACAGTCAAATTTATAGAATCTAACCAGGATTTGTAAATATATCAAAGCATTAAAAATAATAGTGTCATGAGCAGCTGACTGCACCTTCTTTTGGCATTTATTTTCAACCAATTTGAGGAAATGAAGAGAAATACTCATGCAACATTTTAAAAAGCCATGATAGTGTGTCCTGTGTAATAGAAACCTACTATTAAGTATCAATTATGCATTGATTTGTTCATTGTATAACCGCTGACTCATAATATTTCTTTTTTGCCACCACTCTGTATAGTTCATTGCTATATGTACTGGAAGATCCAAAGTAACTATATCTTTAGCAACCATTACACGCTATGTTAGTTTTGATCATTTGTCCGTACGATGACTAAAGAACCGCCACATATTTTCCGTATTTATCATTTGTAAGTGACCTATGCTCCTGTAGTTCTGTGGGTTTCTATTTGAATTAATCAATTGAAGAAAATTAATAGAACAAAGAGCATCACAACTATACTTTATATTTTGCATTACAATGCTATCTTTCTGCCTCCTGTTTGAATAAGCTGGTCATCTTATTCACGACCCATTGTTTCCATTTGCAAATAAGGTGTAGATTGTCCTCTTTCATGGTTTTCTGCATTTATTCCTTGCATCACACATTTCTTTTATGTGCATGGAATTTAGGGATCTAATTTGAAACGGGAGCTTGATACTCTGCATGGACAAGCTGCAGTTTTGGCAGCATTAGTGTCTATTTCACGGAAGTTGCCTCTTGGGTATCCAACAAGGTAATGTTCTTCAGATTATCCCTCTCCTTCCTTCCATTGCTTTAAATAATTATTACACGGTCTGATAGCCCAAGAATAGCTAACCAAGAGAGGGGTGAATTGATTTTTAAAACTTTTTCGAAAAATTAATCTAAAGTCAAGCACATAATAACTAGATAGATTAATTTAAATAATAAACATGAAAATGAAAGCAATAAGTAAAAAGGGATAGAGAATACAAACGATATAATAATGGAGGTTCGATTCAATGCAACGATCTACGTCATTCGTTACCAAGCCCTCCGGCACGAGTAAGGTCAATTTCACTATATTGATTGACTTGTGGTGCAATCCAATTTTTTACAAAGCTTTCGGTGACTTATAAAAAAGTAGCACTAATCCTTATACAATGTTTAACTTTACGAAACCTCAACACGACCCACAAGTTTAAAGAAAATTGATTTTACAAATCGAAACTTCTCTCTTAATAAAAGAGAAATATGTTAACACTTTAATAAATAGCAATGAATGAAGTTCAAGTGTTAGATGAGAGAACTTTAATGGAGAAGATGATTTTCAAAAGTTGATTCAATCAATCCAAAGTTTTCAAAGTAAATACTTGAAGAATTAAAAAGATGTAAGCTCAAAGAGTTTTGCTCAGATAATTCTAAATTTTATGCTTTTTAAGAATGCAATTTGAATGCAAAAAGTAGAGGTATTTATAGAGTTCAAACCATTAAAAAAATCTGGGGGTTCGAATGACCGCGTCCGGTTGACCGCCTCTTGTCCGGATGACCAATATAGCCGTTTGTACAGAAAAATCTGAGGTCAGAATGGTCAAAATTTGGACCATTGGAAATTTTTGGTCTATCGCTGGGCAGTTTGGCTTTTTCCACGTTTTGCCTCTGTTTGTTCCGATTTGAAGGTTTTGAAAAGCATGGGTTTTTGAAGAGTATTTTTAACTAACTTTTCAAGATAAAAAGTGTTTTACAAGTCCAAATATCATTTTTACATTTGATCAAATCATTGTATAAGAATGACTTTTAATGCACAAAATTGCTTTTAATGCATGTTGGGGTTTTGAGCTTAAGCATTCATTGACATATATCAAAGTGTTAATACCTTTACATTTTAGCTAAGAGATCAAATATTTGATCTTGCTCCGAAATTTGGCTCTTAAGATCTTGAATGTGACTTCGATCTTGACTTCCTTCACAAGTCTGATTTGTGATGATAGCTTTTGATCTTTTGACGACCATTGATCAATTTTCCATCGTATGCGTTGAAAGACTATAATTACTTAAATTCAACTTGTTAGTAAAAAAGATTAACTTGTTTGTTATAATCAAAACTTTGAAGTTTTAAATCAACCATAGGTCAACAATTTCCCAATTTTTTATTATGAAAAATGAGATGATTTACAAAGTAATATCGAACAATTGATAAGGAATATAAATTTTAAATTTTTCATGTGATCCATGCATTCCCCCTATCTTTTACAAAGCAATAGCCAAACACTTTAAAACATATGTTTATCAAGGCAAGCATTTTTGATCATCATATTTTCATCGAGCATATCATCTCATACATTTCTCCCTTTTGTCATAAATAAAAAGATATAACATTTAAGAGTAAAACACAACCATATGAAACAATTTGAAGTCGAAAAATGCAAAATATAGGATACCGCACAGACAGGTCAAAGCATAAGTTTACGCGAGGTAATGATACAAAGAAGTTAGATCAACATAAGGACTAAAACACATATGCATAAAGTCACATCTAAGACTCCGGAGGAGGCGGTGGTGGAAAGAGTGCATCGAATCGAGCATAAAAGGCATTTTGTTGGGCCTGCATTGCTGCTTGTTGAACTTGCATTGCATCTTGTTGAACTTGCATACGGTGAAACATCCTGCCAAGCACGTTGACAGGGGATGTAAGTGAATCGATGTGCCCGTTGAGAATATTTCATGTCGGGATTCCACTTGTTTTTATCTCTTCTATCTCTCATTTTTCACTCATTTCTCTCACTTTCCTTCTTCTCCTCCATAAATCTGCATCCAAATTCACAATATCTTCCATTAATCTTCAAGATCTCAGCGATTGAAAATACCAAGATTTCAAAAATCCATCACTTTTTCTCTTCAAAAACCCATCACAATCTTCTCAATGGGCGCGTCGATTCACTTACATCCTCCGTCGATGGGCTTGGCGGGATGCTTCACCGTATGCAAGTTCAACAAGATGCAATGCAAGCTCAACAAGCGGCAATGCAGGCTCAACAAAATGTCTTTTATGCTCGATTCAATGCACTCTTTCCACCACCGCCTCCTCCGGAGTCTTAGATGTGACTTTATGCATATATGTTTTAGTCTTAATGTTGATCTAACTTCTTTGTATCCTTACATCTCGTAAACTTATGCTTTGACCTGTCTGTGCGGTATCCTATATTTTGCATTTTTCGACTTCATGTGCTTATTTAAGGGGGAAAACTTATATTATTTCCTATGATTGTGTTTTACTCTTAAATGCTATATCTTTTTATTTATGACAAAATGGAAATGTATGAGATGATCTGCTTGATGAAAATATGATGATCGAAAATGCTTGCCTTGATAAACATATGTTTTAAAGTGTTTGGCTATTGGTTTGTAAAATATAGGGGGAATACATGGATCACATGCAAAATTTAAGATTTATATTCCTTAGCAATTGTTCAATATTACTTTGTAAGTCATCTTGTGTGTCATAATTAAAACATTAGTAATTCTTGAAAGCAATACAGTACATGGTGCTCTAGTTGCTCTGTGAGATAGTCTACGGCCTACCAAAAGTCTCTTAGTTTTCTATGCGAAGTTAATCAGTATGTCATCCTTTGTCTTTGTGCTTTGGACAACCTTGATATGCAATTATACAAACTGATTTAAACTTCTTAACTTTGGATCATAATTGGATCTGAATAGAAAAATTCTGGGTTTAGAAATGATTAATTGCTTGCAAAAGTCCAATAGAGTAGAACTTCTGATCATGCATCGATGATTTTGAAAATGTATTATACTTTTCCCTTACGATGGAATGAAGTGTCCCGGTTCTTGTTTAACAGTTTTATCCTAACATAAACCACATAGGGCAGTAGGACAATGATTCATCTTATCAGGCAAATAGCTTAACACATATCCCAACCCACCTAGCTCATCTGAATTTCTTATTACCTCATTTTAAAGATGTAGGTCCAATGTGAATTTCACTTGTCTTCCAAAAGATAACAGGAAAAATTTCATGCGTCTACCTTTTAGTTCTTGTGTGTCAGAACATTTGCAGTGACCCATCCCGTTCATTCCCTTCACAAGAAGACCTCAGACCCTCCTAAATTGGTTTCAGAACATTACTTCTCTTTGCTCATCAGTATTGCCTGTCCATAAATACCCTTTTACCCTTTTCCTATACCATCCTGAGTCTCAATTTTGCCATGTTTGTTTACATTAATCTCCAACTCGAGACAGTTCACTTCACATGCCATGGCGATTCAGAATTAGTAGATAAAATTGAGCTGTCATAGACTCCTCTCAAGAGAAAAGTGAGGAGTTCTCTGTGCTACTTGATTGGGATATGCCATTATCTTGTTTCTAGTGACTGTTCACTTCTTTCTTCTGGTTCAATTCTTTTTCCCTTTTTTGGGGGTGCGGAGGGGGACATGATGTTGCAAGCTTAGTAATTGAGTTGTACTTTGTTCATCCAACTATAATTTCATCCTGACATTTTTGCTAATCGTTTTTTTTCTTTTTCTTTTTTTTTCTGGGGTGGGGTGGATGCAGATTGCCCGCATCCATACTTCAAGTTTCCAAGAACCTACTGATAGAATCTAGTAGGAATCCTGTAGCAGCTGTTGTAGAAAAAGAAGCTGGATGGATACTTCTGTCTTCACTGTTGGCTTCCATGTCAAAGGAGGTAACCATATTTATTTTAAAGCTATTTGTATCATTGGCAAGTTTCGTTTCTTAAGGTGATACTTGCATTGGAAGCAGGAGCTCGAGGACCAAGTCTTTGATATTCTATCTTTATGGGCTTCTGCATTTGGTGGGAATCCAGAACACCACATCAATCAAGCACACGATCTGACATCAAATATAAGGTTGGCCAATTCATATTCACCTTTATCTTCCCCCATTGCGAACTGCCCAGTGTTGTTTATTATGTTCTAAATGTTACATATTCTGGACTTCTTATCTTTTTAAATTTTTAGACACAACAGAACATACTTGAAATGAAATTGAGCAATGTATTTTCAAGTCAATAAGAGAAAAATTGAAGCTGTATGTTAAGGTTTAGAAATGGGTATGTTGTGTATACTTCTAATTTGGTTGCTTCCTACCTCTGTTTGATCAAGGGCTATGACTAGGGATGGCAACCGGGCGGGTATGGGATGGGTCGGCCATTCCCACCCCTGTCTCATTGGGTATTTTTGTTACCTTGACCATCCCCATACCCCAGTTAAAGCGGGACAAGGCAGGTTCGCGCCGGGATCACCTGCTCCTCCCCATTTATCGCTCAATTTATTTTTTGCTTCTTTAGTTAGTAAATATTATTACTCTTTTTATCAATTTTTTAAAAACAACTTATGTTCTCTTTAAAAATATGATAAATCTATTATTTTTATTTGATAAAAAACTTAAATTTGAAATTAATTTTAAATGAGAAGGGTAGCGGGGCAGGGACTATGTTTCCCGTACCCGCTTCGCCCCGTTTACCTTGTTAAGCAGGTAATACCGGCCCCACCGGTATTGGGTAGAACAGTTTTTTTGCAATCCCTAGCTATGAATTCAATTTTCTGTTTTCTCATCCCGGCCTAGTGAAAAGAAGATGAAGTGAAAAGAAAGGAAGAATGGAAGCAAAACATCTGTGTGTTATTCACGTGTGCTAAAGAGATGGGCTAACTTTAATTTCTTGTCATTTATTACTTGTTTGATACATATCTTCTAATTTGCTTTGGTTGTTAAATTTGAATACATCAATCTAACAATTAACTTTTAAGTTAATGGTATGTGCTGAATGAAGAAAAATCCTTAATTCTTATTAATAATCGTAAATCAAAATACAATGGAATTTATAGAAGAATAGACTAATTTGTCTGAGATTCTCCAAGATTCTAATAAATGATCACATGAGTAATTCAATCCCAAATCAATTCCTAACAATTAGTTTACAAAAATAAAACTAACTAAAGTATGCCTTATCCAAAGATTACTCATGTAGGAAGCTCGTAAACGAATATTAACACTCAGCAATTAATGAGACTTGAGAGAAAGAGAGAGAGAGAAAGATTAAATGGAGAGAATATAGAGAAATTAGAGGGAGAAAGTAATTGTTTATTTAATAATCAAGTTTAACCATTACAATGCACAAGACCCTCTTAATATAGAGTTTAAACAAACCAAAGACATAAAATAAAACCCTAATTTAAGTCAAACTAGAAAACTATGATAACTAAAATAAGCTACTTTAAATCAAACTATATTTCTTCCTAATATACTAAAAATTCCTTTTATTCTCATCTTCATTCCCCAACAATTACCCTAATTAGGTCATGAAATCTGGAATTCCACATTACGCCATCTGATTTTCAAAGTATAAACTTACATTTGTTCATGGAGTTGCAAGAACACTCGTTATTGATTATCAAGCCTGACTGTCATAATGAAATGTAAAATTACCCATATATTCTCAACCTTTGTCTCGATATCGTGGTCACCATCACGAAGCAATGAACAGAAGAAAAGCAATAAAAAGATAAAGTGTTCTAATATTTTGTTGGATAGACATAGAAATACCAACAATTTGTTAGATCATTGCAATAATGATTGCATGCTAGTTTAAAATCATGTTTTGTTAGGATTATCGTGTAATACCTGTTGGTTGACACTATCCGCTAGACTTTCCGGAAAAATCAACTCTGATAACAGTTACTTTGGCGATGCAATTATCCAATTGTGTAAGCTCAGGACCTTAATTAATTGGATTTTTTGTTCTTTAGGAGTATTTAGATCCATTATATATAGTTCAGCTGGTGTCAGTCTTTTGTGTTTAGTTTACATATTTTGTTCTGCCAGTGCTGTTTTGGGGACTTGATAGATTTAGAATAAAACCTGCAACTTGTTTATATATCGAGTCTATCTTCAATCCTGTACTTGACCATAGCTATCTCATGTTATCAACCTATTAACTTTACCTCTAAAACTCCTGCACTCCAGCTTCTTATGTTTAAGTTTGGGTAACATCCTCCATTACAGGATGGTATTCTCATGCTTGTTGTACATCACACGCCAAATTGAATTTGACTGTTTGACTTAATGCACCCGTGGGATCAGAGTTGAGGGAATTAATCTCTTAGTTTTCCATTTCAACACATTATGGTTTGAAGTCGAGGATTTACCCTGAAGCAGGAAACTTTCCAGCAGATATTGAACTAGCCATATTCTTCTATAGACCAGCACCAAGTACTCCCTTCCATTTCATGATTGACACTGCTGCTGGCCAATTAGATGCTACCATCCAGTTGCATCTTTTACATGTTCCATGTTAAGTATACTTTTACTACCAATTTTGAGGCCATAGACTTGAAACTAACATGAAGGCTGTTTGAACTCCCAGAGAAACTAGTATGGCTTTACCATGTGAATTTATGGGAAAGATTTAAATACACATCCTATTCCATGTAGCAGTCACTAGAATAATACAAGAGTTTCTAGAAAACCAAACAAGCGTGTCCTAATATTATAAGAGACAAATTAGCAAAGAATCAGGAAAAAAATAAACAAGGAATCAGGAAATATCTCACCCAATTTTCTATAGCCGATTTAAAGAAACTAATTGAAGTCAAGTATTTTAACAAATGCATATAATAGTTATAGAACAAATTGGGCATGAAGTTCGTTGAAAAATTTTCACATTATTTTGACATTTTTACCAAATGTTTTATAACTAAAAGAATATTTCTGAAGTTATATTTCAAAATTTTCAAAATGGGTTTGCTCTCCTTGACATGTTGTAGACGTGCCCTCCGTTTATCAGAAATTAAACGAGTGTAAATACAAAAAGACATGTCACACATGCTGGATGCTTGTCCGGGATGATCTCTCGTGTTGAAAATTTTATTAAGTACATGAAAAATTGGACACACTACATGGCCAAGAGTGCCAGCAATGTTGGATCCCTACACTCCAGCCTAGGAGGAGTGTCTGGTTCACAGTTGACAGATAATATGAGAGGGTAATCATTGAAGGTGGTAGCATTATGTTTGAAAAGAATAATTGGTTAGAGACTGAGAGAATGAGAAAAGAAGTGAAATAGTCTGACAAAAGGATTTAATGAAATAGGATGCAATACTGATTCGAGGTGAAGAAAGCAGGACAAAGTTTCATTTGGAAGACGAAAGCATCAGTACTATATGCCCATAGTTCTGTTAGGTCGACTGATTGAGTTGGCACATAAATAGAGGCTTTCTTGAAAATGCATTTTTCATTCTTTTAGTTTCTGGATAGCTAAGATCCTTTGGAGGGATGCAACTGCATTGCTTCCCCAGGAGCATATACAAATTGTCTCGGTTATTACATTATCATTAAATGTTTGAATCTGAAGGAAAAGGCACAATATGATGCAGTAGAAGTAGTTATCATGTGCATCGGTGATGAAAATGTAAAATTGACTGGTAATTTTGCACTATAATGTGCTTTTTTAATATATGTTATTGAGATGGTTCACAAGTGGGCAGCAAGGTAGCAGATCAATGTAAATGGGCATATCCATTCCTTGTTCAATGGTTAGTAGAGAGAGATGATATAGAATACATGCCAATACTAGTAGCATAGGACTACTCACTAAGTTATTAAAAGCAGTTGCATCACTAAGTTATTTAAAGCAGTTGCATATCTTTTTATCAGTGAATTCGAGATCTTTCACTTTCAATGTTTGTTAGCTGTAGTAAGGTTTATTTTGTTTGATTCAGCATTCTTTATCTTAACACAATAACGTATATTGACATACTGTACTACTATATACGGTACCTTTTTCCCCTTTGTTTGGTCTGGGAGCTCTTTGTGTTTTCAACATCAGTAATGAAATTACTTGTTGTCTTCTTTGCAGTGTGTGGTCTGCTGCCATCGACGCACTAACGTCGTTTGTAAAATGTTTTGTTTCTTCTGATGCTGTTAGCAAGGGAATTTTACTTCAACCAGTGTTACTATACCTTAACAGGTAGAGTAAATTTACAAGGTTTTTTCTGAATTTTTTTGATTTGTCCGGCCTTAAAAATTTATTAAGCTTATTTTTGAGTCCATAGAAAGAGCTGGTTTTACTAACAATTTAGAATTCAATCATACATGGAGCAGGGCCTTGTCCTATATTTCACTACTAGCAGGCAAAGAACAAACAAATATAGAACCTGCAATGAATGTATTCATCATCAGGGTGTTGTTAACATATGAAGCCCTTTCAGATCCATCTTCATACAGAAGTGACCATTCGCATATTATTCAGATATGTACGACTCCTTTTAGGTAAACACTGACTGGACACCCTTGCCTGCCGATAACTTTTCTCCTGTTGATTTCTTTTTTACTTCAAGATGAACGAATCTGCTGCATCATGAACATGAAATTGGGTGCAGTGTGCATTTCTTTGTTTCTTAAACCAACTGATGTCTTCTTCTATGTCTTAATTTTGAAATGTGAAACAGGGAACCTTCCAGATTTGAGGAAAGCTCCTGTTTGAGGTTGTTGTTAGACAAGAGAGATGCGTGGCTGGGTCCTTGGACTCCTGGAAGGTTTAATCTTGGAACTTGCCTATTTTCTTTTTCAGTAGTACATATGTTATCGTGTCTTTGTAGTTTGAACTGTGTTTATTTATTGACAGTCAGTTCTTCTCACGATCTCTTTTCATCCCATTTCGCAATAAGGAACTATTTAGTACCTAAATCTTATTGTTGTTTATTCACATTGGCTATCAATTAGGGACTGGTTTGAAGACGAACTTCGTTCATTTCAAGGGGGAAAAGATGGCGTATTGACTTGTGTTTGGGAGAATGAGCCTTCTAGTTTTCCTCAGGTATAAGACAGCCTTGTATCCACACACACCAACTCAAGGGTCATACTCCACTTACTTTCAGGAAATAGTCAAAAATTTTGATTTCTTGGTTCCTGACATTAGTACATGTAATTTGTCCTGTAGCCCGAGACTATTAGCAAGATGTTGGTGAATCAGATGCTCCTCTGCTTTGGAACCATGTTTGCTTCTCAGGTGAGTGATCAGTATTGCTGATTTTGCTTTCTCTTTCATGGACATTGGTCAAAATAAAGGTATCTGATTGTTGTCGTCTTGATTTTATGTTTTATCCCAGGATAGTGGTGGGATGCTGTCGCTTCTTGGCATGATTGAACAGTGTCTGAAAACTGGAAAGAAACAAGCTTGGCATGCAGCCAGTGTCAGTAATATATGTGTGGGGTTACTGGCTGGATTGAAGGTGATAATGTTATCTTTTGTCTGTTAATATTACCTGTAGTTTTCACCTTTCTAACACTTAGTGTCCTGCTTTTCTCCAGACTTTACTCACCCACCGTCACGAACCCCTTGGGATGGAGATATTGACTGCTGCTCAGGCTATTTTTCAGGTTTTGCTGCCACTTTTACTGCAATTTTCAAAGATTCTGGTGCATTTTTTTCGCTCCGACACAACTGATGGAATAATCATGACAGAGTATTCTAGCCGAAGGTGACATTTGTGCATCCCAACGCAGAGCATCAGCAGAAGGGCTTGGCTTATTGGCGAGGCTTGGAAATGATGTATTTACTGCCAGACTGGTTAGTATCCTGTATTTTTTGGGGTTTTGTATCTCTAGATTTTCTTTTATATTATTAGGCTTAATAATTATTTTGTGAAACATTTCCCTTCAAATACACAGTTTATTTCATTTGAGCTAGGACTTCAGATTCTCGAAAAGAGGTCCTGAACCCCTATTACTTTGTTAATTGCAGATACATGACAGGTCCTCCGTGTATTTAATAATAGTCAAATCCAATTGGTAAATTTGACGAAGACAACGTAGATTTAGTTCACTTTTTAGTTCCACAATGCTGTCCAAAATATCATTATGTGCTGATTTAAAATCTATTTTATATGGCAGTATATTATCACTCCTCTAGCACTTCTGCTAGCTATTGCATCTATGCATATATCACAAATTATTGTCTCTCTTTCATAAATTTAATGCTTACTTACTAGCTACTCCATTACTCTCTGTATTATTTGAATTTTTAAGATTTCTGCTCTGTATCCATTAATGCTCCAGATTCCTGCATTTTATCCCCATTCCCCTTTTGTTCCATCCTCTTTCCATCCCTTTTAGGGATTTATTATATTATTCTAAATTAATTTTTCCACCAACAGATGAAACTTCTCCTTGGTGATGTTGGTGGGATTGTGGACTCATACCATGCTGGTTCAATTGCTCTTGCACTTGGCTGTATTCATCGCAGGTAATCATGAAACTTGGAATTAACATATGCATGTAAAGTGTTAAACCACTTGATCTAAAAGTTTAATCTCTTAGATTGGGCCAAATGTATATCAGGGGACATGTTGAACATATTATTTAAATAATATACATTTGGCTCGATCTAACGGCTTAAGTTTTTAGATTTAGCTATTCAACATGGTATTAGAACCTGTAAATGTTCTGGGTTCAAGTTTCGCTGCCATCCATTCATATGAATTGTGCATATGTTAGGCTTTGATTGAAAAAAGATGAATCCTGCTTACACATGAGGGAGCGTGTGAAAAGATGATATTTAAATGATATATATTTGGCCCGATCTAATAGCTTAAGCTTTAGATCAAGCGGTTCAACAATAAGCACAAGAAGTGAGCAAAAGATCTCACTTTCTCTCGCAGGTTGATAAATGCCATTGAACTGTTGGTTTGGCAAAGTAATTCCTGTGCTGTCATTTTCTTCTGCACTCTTGTGCATTCTTCTTCCGCTTTTTTGTTCTTAAAAGCCTAAAATGGTTCTCTGGATATGAAATGAAGCTTGGTAAAAAATATCTGGCTATTTGCGTCTTACATCATAGAATCAATTTGATACTGGCATCTGTATTACTTTAGCTACAATGACAATCACTTCCCATTTGCCAATATTGTGATGAGTACTGTAACACACAAGGAACCGGCAACGTTTCACTTCTATATCCACCCCGTTACAAGTGAAAGAGACAAGATCAATATCAAGTTGCTGACAACGTTTCTAAAAGTTCTGTGCACCTTACTCATATTTACAAACATCACTTGTTTTTCTTTTGCTATTTGTGTTGGTTTGCCCTACTTTCAGTACATCACCTGCATGTTTTCTATGTATTTTACTAAATTCTTGTTCAAATGTAACTCGTGCCAATATTGTGCCATGTGTACCACTTCTTAATTACCTATTTTTAATTACCCTGTAGCAGCCTGTGGCGAGTACATAGCAGAATTCTTGGTGTTATCAAGTTCACTGCCCACAACTGTGAATCATAGAAATTTTTAATACTCTTAATCTTGTCTGCAGTGCAGGAGGAATGGCTTTATCAAGTTTAGTGCCCACTACTGTGAACTCGCTATCTTTGCTTGCTAAAAGTTCAATAGCTAGTTTAAGGATTTGGTCCTTGCATGGCCTTCTTTTGACCATTGAAGCAGCTGGTTTGTCCTATGTATCTCATGTTCAGGTATGTATGTGTTTGGTCTCCCATGCACACTTGCTTTCCGTAAGAATTTGTTTAAATTTCAATTCTTTTTTTTCATTTCCCTGCCCAGAATATGATAATCTTTGCCTGTAGTTGTGTTCAGTAGTATTCCATTCACAATTTTCTGGTTCTCCCTGTGTTGAGTTCTTTCTCATTTCTAATAATGGGGAATGGAAATAGAAGATTTGAAATCTAAAATGTGGAAAGGAAGTACTAAGAGGGGTGAATTTTGCACTGAAAGAGTTAAAAAAAGAGGGGAAACCATAGCGACGTTATGAGTTAGATGCTTTTACCTTTTTGAGATTGAGATGCACTTTTAACCCCTGTTTGAGCCCCATTTTATAAAAACTCATTTTTTTCGAGACTCATTTTCAATCACACATTCTCCCAATAAAATAATTTTACACGTAAACCCAAAATTTCCTTACTTTTTAACTAAACATTCTTAAAAAAAAAAATCACTATTTCAAAATTTATTCTCCCAAAAGATGGGGCTCAAACAAATCCTTAATGTCTTGAGATAACGGATTTTGATTAACTAAAGAGACCTCTGGATTACTCAAAAGTTTTATATTTGAAGCTATTACTCAAGAAATTAATCATCAACTAACGTTACATGTTTCACTAATACTTTAGGTTTAATATGTAATGTATTTGAAGGATCTTATTAAGTGTTGGTTTGATGATTTTTAACTGGTTTTTAATTATGAAAATTCATGATTTTGCTGTTTAAATGTGTATACGCATGTGTGTATGTACATGAATGCATGCATACATAAATACACATACAGAGGGAGGGAGGGAGAGAGGAAGGGAGATTGCCATGTATAAGTGGGTGATTTTGTGAAAATTGTAAGATTTGGACCTTGATTTCTTTTTTTTAATGAACGAATTAACAATTTTCGTGGTGTTTGCTGTTGCATGAGATGTGTGCTTTCAAGGTGTCCAATCAGTTCTTATCTTAAAAGAGTATTTATATCATTTTCTGAAACTGTCTTTATGATATTGTGTCTTTCAGTTTTATATTTACCTATTCTAATCAAATACTGCTCTCTGCCTTTCTATGTTTTTGCAGGCCACACTTGGCCTTGGTATGGATATTCTCTTGTCTGAGGAGAGTGCTTGGGTTGACCTGCAGCAGGGTGTGGGCCGTCTTATTAATGCTATTGTTGCTGTTCTTGGTCCTGAACTTGTGCCCGGTAGCATTTTTTTCTCACGCTGCAAGGTAGGCTATTTTATTCTCCAAAAGTTGGGAAGTAAGATTTTTGAGTTCATTGACCTGAAAATTTGATCCCTGTTTGACTGTTGGCTATTTATTGTGGCGACTTCTATAGTATGATATCTTCCCATCGTGAGATACTTTCTGCTGTATGTTAGAATAATGCTATCTAGTGCAATTGGTGCTGCAAGCCTGCAACATCTAGGTGGTGCTATAAGATAAGCTCAATGAAAGGTGGAATTAAGTTACTCATTTAATGCTAGTGTCTAACATAGTGGTGCTAAAAACTAAATAGTATAACTCTATATATTATTGCTCTCTTCTAGATTGCTGGTTTTTGAATTTAATCTAAATTATGCTTTCGTGTGTAGTCTGTTGTTGCAGAGATCAGATCATGCCAAGAAACAGCGACACTTACTGAGTATGATAATTCATCTATTACTGAAGCATTTAACTGAGCAAAAGCACATGATTTAAACTTTTTGCTTTTTTACTTGGCAGGTGCGTCCGTTTTACGCAACAACTAGTTCTTTTTGCTCCCCAGGCAGTTTCTGTGCATTCCCATGTGCTAACTCTTCTCCCGACTCTATCCTCAAGACAGGTATATCTTTCAAAATTCATCTGACGGTGTTAGATAGTCTCTTTAACCTGACTCTAAAACAGCCAGTTTCATGTGCCAGCCAACTCTGAGACATCTAGCTTTGTCCACTCTACGACATCTTATAGAGAAAGATCCGGTTAGTAACTATTTTTTATTCTCAGCCAGCTTTTTGGATACATGTTTCCTCTGCTAATGGCAAATGCTCACGAGGACGTTAACTACTCCTATGTGGCTGTTTAAATATGAGGTGTATTGACCAGATTTACACAAATTGAAGTACAATGATTCAATTGAAATTTAGGTGGAAGTAAGTGACCTTGAATGAACATTAAGCTAAGCTATTTTAAGTTTTATTAAGCCTAAAGCTACTTATTTTTAGCTATAAAGGAGTTTTATTAAGTTGGAGAACATCAATATGCTTCCCCCCACCCATCCTCGCACACAAAAAAAGGAATGTATTAAGAAGGAAAAAACTGTTGCTTGAGCAACGCAATTAAAATTTTCCCCAGTACATAAATGCTTCAAATTTTCAAGATTTCAATTCTATGTAGTTACCCATTTTGATAATCAAATTGCAGGTTTCCATGATCGATGAACAGATAGAAGAAACATTGTTCCATTTGCTTGATGAGGAAACCGATTCAGAGTAAGTAAAATGCGCGTACTCTGTATACTTTTTATATTTTCTTCCAAGTTGTGCTGCGACGCCAGGCAGATCTTCTTGTGCATATTCTCTTTCGTTTAGTTTTTCATTTTTAGGATCGTTAGTTTTTATTTTGGATTGATGGCTCTTTTTGAGGCTGTAATCTATCCTTTAAGATGACAATATAATGGACACGAATACTCCAACATTATCTTCTATAATGAACGAGAACTTGACATGTAATGGTTGTCTCTGCATTAGACTGTGATTTTGTATTTCATTTCTCCTAGATGAGTCCAGGCAACATCGAAATAGCTGAATAGTGCTGCATGTATAGAGGTCTTTTATTGAAAACACGTAGCAGAATATTCTTCTGCCCCAAATTGATTTTCTTGATTCTATTTTTGTTTGTCCTAACTTTTAATATAGCCCCTTTTTGGACTCCATTTTTTAGAAAATGCATCTCTCTTATTTTCAATTGCGCATTCTCCAATAAGATAATATTACACATAAACCATAAACTTTTCAGTACTTTTTAACCACCCATTCTCCAAATAATCCAAAATATATTTTTTTCCCAAAATCCATTTTTAGTGGAGCCCAAACTGGGGCATATTCTTCTGGTATCAAATTCAGGTTTTTAGATTTCTAGGGAGTAAGACGATGGCACTTTTTTTGTGTATTCTTAGTTTTTTGGACTTATTTTGTTTTTGCAGGATTGGTAATTTAGCACGTACCACGATCGTGCGATTGCTCTATGCATCATGCCCATCATGCCCATCTCACTGGATGTCGATATGCCGAAACATGGTAACTCCTTTGATCTGGCAATTTAATATATTTGTGTTTAAAATTCATGCTCAACTCTATGCCTTATTCAGAAATAAATCAATTCTGTAATAAAAATGCCTGCAAGTTTCTTGATATATGCACTCTTTATCAATTATAAGCCTACCAGTTTACTTCTTGCTATTGGAAATGTGTTTGGGCTTGTAATCATATTCTATTATTAGAACTTTTTTCCTATATACTTATCTGCCTCTTATTGTACATTTTCTGCATCCTTGTTGCTTATATTATTAAGAAGCTGTTACAAAACCCAACAACAGAGAAGCTCTGGTAGGGTATGTGGCAACTGGATAATGATGGCCTTAGTTGCACATCACGTTGTTGGGGCCGGAGTGTCGGTGTCTAACAAGTATCGGACACCGACACGTGCCGAACACACTCTGACATGTGTCTAAAATTCCACGTGGAGTACTGTCGACAAATGAAGTGAAACAAACAAAAAAAACTAACCTCTCGACGTCAATGAAAAAGGTCATTGTCAGCGAGTGAAGTGGAAAAGGCATCACTAGAGAGTGCATTGAAAGTGACCATCGCCGACAAGTGTAGTGGGAGAGAGAGACAGAGAGGGGACAATCAAGCCCTAAGCTTTACTTTTACAGGGATGAAACCGCACTTGAAAATATGGGTGAACAAAAAAATCGCTAACCCACCAAACCAAACCAAACCTAAGCCGTGGTTTTGAAACTGTTGGTTTGGAAATTGGTAGGTTGGATTTCAACATTTCTAAAATCGAACCGAACTGTTTGGAAATTGTTTGGTTTATGCTTCGATGGTTAAAAACCACTTGAAACCAAATCGAACCATTCACCCAATATAAAAAAAATTGTTTTTTACCCAAAATACCGTTTGTTAGTTCAGGTTATGCTTCAACAAGTTCAATTGCTAGTCCGCTTCTATTGACTCAAACCAATATATTTATTTTTTCACATATTTGAAAAAAATATTATTTTTATATTGCTAAAACCAAATCTCATAAACTGATTTGGTTTGGATTTTTTTCAAACCGTTTAAAATGGTTTGGTTTGAAACTATTTTTGGATGGTTTTTGGACTATTTTCCTATCAAAAATAGTGCAAAAACCATCCAAAACAAATCGTGTTTACCTCTACTTGAAGGTTGGAACCTAAACCTGAAACTAAAAATATTATTTGTAGTCACACGTCACTTATATTTCTTTTTATGTTTGTGAATCATTTCCAATACCATTTTCTCTAATTTAATATGATTTTAATAGCAATGGACCATTTTTGATGAATATAAAATCCCTCAAATTTTATATAAATTTTTTTTTTTTNTATATAAATTTTTTTTTTTTTTTTTTGATAACCGTGGATGTCCGGGCCAACTTGCGCGCACCTCTACTAATTTCACGGGACCCTGAAGTTTACAGCCGGGTTCGCACCTCAGTGGCCCTGAAGGGACTTGAACTGGTGACCATTGGGGAGCAAACTCAAGACCTAACCAATAGTAGTCATTTTTCTATCATTTACATTATATAAATTGATGTGTTAATTTTTTTTTTAAAAAAAATAGATAAACTATTTAATTAACGTGTTTGTGACATGACGCGTCTTATCCTACCACGTGTACTATTTGTTTTTTATGCAATAAGCATATGAATATTTATTTTCTTACACTATAAAATTAGAAAAATAATTTTTTTAATCAACGTGTCGGCAGTGTGTTGGTGTTGGCACTTTTTCAAAAAATCGAATGTCAACGTATCCGACACGTGTCATGTTGTGTCATGTCGAATATGTGCGTCTGTATCTATGCATCTTAGGTTTGGCTCTTGTAGTTAGTTTCTGTTTGAATGAGCTAGTTGTTTACACTTGAGCAGAAATTACACGGGACAGCTAAATAGAAACAAATTAGTTTTTGGAAGGATTAACATGGACTTCCAATGTTTTGAAAAGGTGTTCTCCTGTTTAAAATGAACTTATACCTGTATCTTCTTCCATGTTCAGCCAATCTGGAGTGAAATTTAAATTGGGTGTGAGAAATGCATTCTTTCTGGGGTACAGTGAATGATGTGCTGTAATACATTCCTCAAAGTTGTTTTGTTGAATTGATTAAAATAATAGTGTGCGCGCCTTAACAAAATTTCTAATTGGATTGAAACAATCTCTTGAAGCTTGTTTTATGGTTTTAATGAGGCCATATTGAAGTTTCAATACTATCAGCATCATCAACTTTCTTAAATGAATTGGTGATATGATCAGTGTTCTTTTTGCATTTATTGACAAAACACTTTAATCCATGACTATATAAAGGAAATATCCAAAGTGAAGTGCCTAGCTTTAGACTTTCTTTGGTTTAAAGATTGCTAGAATGGAAATCTTCCCAAGAGTAATGTGGAGTTTTGGAAAATAGTGAAACATATTCTCCAATGGACATCTTGTAATCATTCTCTAACAGATATCTTTAGCTAGAAACATAATCCTGATAGTTTGATTTGTCCAAAATTTTAAATCCTGAAATTTGATTCTCAAGAACCCACTCCTACCAAAGAGGGACATTATTTTAATTTATAAAATGTGGTTTGCATGCTATCATGGACACATTGTCTGCCTGAAATGAGTAGTTTCCTTTTTCCATACGGGTAGAATTCGTTTGCGATTGTTTTTGTTTTCGTAGAAGAAATATATGTGATTGATTTCATTTTTCATCCTGTGCTGAAACTGTATAGATTCTTTCTACATCGTTAAGAAGAGATGCCAGCGGTAGCAAGCATTTGGAGAATGATTCTTCAAGTGGTCTAGATGGTGAGAAAAGTTTGAATTTTGGAGATGATGATGAAAACATGGTTTCTAGCTCCGAAGGTCCACCAGTTCAGGGTTACGCTCTCGACTATTCTGGTTTGAACCTTTCAAGAGATAAGCACCTCAGATATCGCACGAGAGTTTTTGCTGCTGAGTATGTGGCCATACTTTTGCCTCTTCTTCAATGATTCAAATTTTATTCATCTTAAATGAAATAATGCGAGAAAAACTGAACTTTTCCAAATGATTAAGTGGGGCAGATTCTTATTCAAAACTGAATAAGGGACTTCAGTTCATTTCTGTATGTGTGAGCTGTACATCCAGTATATCATTTCTACATTCTGAATGTGTGGCTTATACATTTTTCCTTGCCTATAAATAAGCAGGAATTTGCCCCTAGCTATTCATTATCAAAGTTGTGCCTACAGATTATTTTTCCTTCATCTTATTGATTTATGGTTGTTTCCCAATCATTGTCTCTAATTGTTACCACCCTTTCTTGCTATAATTGAATTAATTTCCTTTTATCTCTCATCTATATTTTCCTAGAGTTTAACATATCTATTAATTTAGTTAATTACCTGGCATAAATAGAATAATAACGTTGAATGTGACAAGTGCGTTGAGATTTTAAGGCTGAATCACATTATTTGGTTTTATCTATTTTGAGTATTAAACTTTGTTAGTTACATCATTTGTTCTCTTTAAACATACTCCAAGAACTTAAATTCAACATCCATTTGGACGCCCAGGCAATCCAGATAAAAGGTACAAAATGAAAAGATTGGAAGGTGAAAACAAAAACAGAAATGGAAATGGCTATTTTTAGTTTGCTCAAATATTGTTGGCTCTAGGGACCACGAATAGACTTTACTATTTTCTTTTTTACTCAGTGATGGATGATAAACTGTTTATGACAAAATGTGGTCTGCATAAATTATTAGCCTCTGATATATAGCCACATATGTATGTGCTACGTTCAGAAAGAACTTATGAATGTCAAAGAGCTTGAAATTTTTGGAGTCGAAGTTCCATGTTCAAGTATTTGTCTGATTGTACATTATGGTAGAATTCAGACTCAGTATTTTTCAATAAAATATATAGTATAGAAGGATGGGAGTTAACTTTTTTTTTTGGAAGCATGGACTTCAAAATCATAATCATCGACATGGAAAATGTTTGTTTATTGAATTCATGCTGGTGCGAGAGGAAAAGGTGCTTTTGGGAACTTTTTAGAGGGTCATTCTTCCTTAGAGGTATCCACACTAGTACTCGTTTAACCTTGAATGATTGGCAAACAGAACATTATTGAGTTTGTAGAAATATCAAATGTCTTATTATGGTGTTTTGAGAATTTTAAAAATATGATATTCATATATTTAAGTTCAAGTTTTTGTTGCATGTGAGGAAACAAGAAACTGTTACGCTGCTTTTGCAATATGAGAATACAAGAGTCTCTGATTTATGCACATGTTTCCTTTTCAATGAATGTTGTATATAATGACAAACATATTTCTCTGATGTATCACAATTCAAGGCAGTTTCTCTCATGCTATTACTGCAGACATTTTCATTTATTTGCATATAATGGATCTTAGTTAATAGATTATTGGAATTAGGTGCTTGAACCATCTTCCTGGAGCAGTTGGAGAAAATCCTGCTCACTTTGACCTCTCTTTGGCAAGACAACAACCTGCTAAGGGACCATTTCCTGGAGATTGGCTGGTTCTTCAATTGCAAGAGCTCATTTCTCTTGCATATCAGGTGCTGAATAAAAAACAAATACTATAATCTTACTTGAGTCCTATGAACACTTCATGTGTCATGAAGTAACTCAAATCTTATCTCTTTCTTGTAACTTCTTATAGATAAGTACAATTCAGTTCGAGAACATGCGGTCTATTGGTGTCTCTCTTTTATGCACCATTATGGACAAGGTACCTCTCTACATGGTATTCCTGTCTACTTCATTAGATTTCTGGACAGTAAAATTATTTTTAACAGCATAATGATCTCAATGTTGCATTTCATTCTTCTGGTATTCATTTTTTTGTATTAATAATTTAATTTCATGTAAATATCTTAATTGTGTGATTTACTGTAAAAACTCTTAGCTTGATCTTCCTTAATTATGAGTCATACAAATGGTCATCAAGCATTTGAATATTGGTGCCTCTGTGTGTATGTGACTATGTTAAGTGAACTATTCTTTGAATCAACTCTTCCTTCTATATAGATTTCTCAAGTGTAGATGTGTGTATTGTAACAATAGAAAGGCTTTTGTAGAAAAGTTACTGCAATTTTATGTTGACTTGTATTATGGGGAATCCCAATAGCAGTCAACGCTGACTCTTGCATGGTGTCTTCACTTGATGCTTGCTGGCTTGGTTACACGTTGGTCCCTAAGTCCGACATCTACATGATGTGATTGTGCAACCCGGTGAGAGCTTATAAGTTGGCTAGTGCAATGCTGAAAATAGTACTGAACTGGGGGTCCATGCTTTACTCATTCCATACTTCTCCTTTTTCGTTTAACTATTTAATCATCTTCATAATTTCATTATAATATTGAGTTAAAATATCTGTAACTTAGTTTATGTTTTATTTTCTTGCAATCATGACATTTATAACTGTTTTTTTTTCTTTTGCACATGATCAGTTTGCTGCAATACCAGACCCTGAGCTACCTGACCACCTCCTCCTGGAGCAGTATCAGGTTTTCTGATCGAACTTCGTTTTGAAAATTCTTTTCATCTAGTTTTTTTGCATAAACTTCTATTTTCTGAGTTTGTTGTTTCATGTTTACTACTAATGTCGCATAGTATGTTGATTTCTCTGTTGGAGTTAATTGATGTGTAACTTTTTAATCGGCTCACTCCAGGCACAACTGGTATCTGCGGTTCGGACTGCATTGGACTTCTTGTCAGGACCAACCCTATTGGAAGCAGGCCTACTTCTAGCTACTAAGGTCTGGAGCACATGCATATTTTTACTTTCTCTTCCATAGTGAATTGAATTTATTGATTCAGATGGTATGATGTGAAAATTTCAGATATTCACAAGTGGAATTATTAGTCGAGATCAAGTTGCAGTCAAAAGAATATTTTCATTGATTTCGCGTCCACTAGATGACTTCAATGACCTATACTATCCATCATTTGCTGAATGGGTCTCATGCAAGGTTAATGTTATTTTCTCTGTATCACTTAATCTGGCATGTAGATAAAGAGAAAATTAGTGATAAAATCTCAAGTAGGCCTTCACCAATCATCAGTTGCTTATTGCATGCCTCTTTTCTTTTCAGATCAAAATAAGGCTTCTGACTGCCCATGCCTCCCTCAAATGTTACACGTATGCTTTCTTAAGAAGACAAGGAGATGAGATATCTGATGAGATTATAGCACTGCTACCTTTATTTTCTAAAAACTCTAGTACACTGGGAATTTATTGGCTGGCTCTTTTGAAGGATTACAGCTATGTTCGCTTCCGAGTGTATTCTAGGAAAAATGTGAGCTCAACGTTTTTAACTTTTATTTTCTATTCTGCAACTAAGGGAAAAAAAATTATGGCTCTCATTAAACCTTTGCATATTTTTACTTGTGTGACTTACAGTGGAAACCATTTCTTGATGGAATTCAGTCATCAGTAGTTTTAGCTCAGTTGCAGCCATGTTTAGAAGAAGCCTGGCCATTGATTCTGCAAGCACTGGCACTGGATGCGTTTCCTGCAAATTCGAATGTGAATGGATCTTCAACAAGTTATGATAGACTAGAAAATATCTCCACTTCTGGATACAGCATGGTTGAGTTGGGATTGGCTGAATTTCAATTTCTGTGGGGATTCTCCCTACTAGTTCTATTTCAGGAGCAAGATATGACTCTTGGTGAACGGATAATACCAGCGAGTTTTATAAAATCCAAATTCAGCAGCGACATCCCTGTTGAAGATTCAAATTCTCTGTCTTCAAAGTTATATGACGTTTTATTAGCTGTTTTTCAATTTATGTCCACCGAAAGATTCTTCACCGCAGGATTTCTCACTTTGGATGCTTGCAAAGAATTATTACAGGTATGTGTATTTGTCTAAATTTCATCCCATTTTATCGCATCTGAAAAAAGTATATATTCACCAATTGTTCTATCAATTTTCAGTATTTAACGATATTGGAATCAGCAGCGATATACTCAAGTAAATTTTTTGTAACAATTAATTGATCTATCTGTCTAAAATGGATGCAGGTCTTTTCATATTCTATTTTCATGGAAGATACATGCTATAGTTTTTCAGTCTCCGTCTTGTCACAGGTATTGACAATATCTTTTTTCTTGAGTTAGTGTAGATTTATAGAACATTATAACACAAACTAATTTAAAAGAAAAAAGAAATGAACAAATGTTAAAGCAAATGCCAGCCCTGGAATTTGGTCTTCCTATGTGGAATGACATTAGACAACACCAAAACTTCTTGTTTAAATCATTCTCATGAAACAATCTCTTTTGTTTTTCTGTTTCAAACCATGGTCAAAACTTTTTTCATTTTTTTGGTGGCCTTAACAGATTGTGCACAACTGTCCCAAGGATTTCCTTGAAGTAGAGAATTTTTCATATCTGGCATCGGAACTGTGTTTGACTTTTCTTTTTAAACTCTTCCAAAGGTACATGTTCTTCATGTTAAATCATATACTTTTGGCACTAAAGGTAATCCATGAAGCAATATTTTTAATAATAGTTTATGTTGTTATGTGTTCTACAGTGATGTAAATTCTCAATACTCTTCAAATTGGGAGAAGATGATTTCTGTCCCTCTTGACATAGCAGCAACTTTATTGGAACGTTTTGAACCTCAGGTAGATGTATACATATCATGGTGCATGACTAGTACTTTTTAGTGCATACTTTGTATATAATATTAGATCATGCCAAACAGTACGAGGACCAAACTTTTAGCTTAGTTTTCTTTGTTAATACTGTCTAGTATGGTCAAATCCACCTTACCAAACATGCCATTCTGGCAGTCCTTTTCTCAGTTATTTCTTTTACCTTCTGTTATAAATATGCTGTGTATTGAAAGATTAATTTGTTTCTTTCCCATAACCCGTCAGTTATTGAATAAAAAATTCACGTCATGCAGATGCAGCTAAAATTATTGTTGCCTTTTCTGTCGATTGGTTATAAGTGCATTGGAAAATCATCAACTAAGTCGTGCCTTTCAAGTGCTAACGACTTCGTGCAGTCAATCATTTCTTTATTGAAGAGACATGGTGAGTACCCAGTATCTCTTTGGTTTATGGGACTACGTAAAGGAATTCATTCCTCAATCTTCTGGCTCTTCAGACCCCAGCGGGAACTCATGTCTGTCTACTGCATTCATTTACTTTTATGATATCCATTTTTGCATAACTGCAGTTGGTACCACGACTGATCTGTCTGAACTATTGAAGCTATTTTTGTTGTTCCATTCAATCATATTCATCAAAAAATTAACTAATTCTGAATTTTATGAAAAAAGGGGTTCATTGTGAAATTTAGATACAGAGTCATTTACTTGAAATGGGATTCACATTCACGTTGTTAATGTAGAGACGGAAACAGTAGAGAATGAGTCAGCTTTCCATTACTCACGGCTGTTCTTAAACCCACATGTCCTGTGGGGTTTGTTCATTTCACTGGTATTAAGACTCACGATGTTCAGGCCAATAATACGTTTTCTTTAACTGATCATGGTTTGAGATAAATCATATTTTGAATGATCAAATGAGTCGAGTACAAATCATCATATGACTCAAGAACTGACAAAATTTAGGACAAAAACCTTTATATGTTATTCCTGAGTTCAATTTCAGATAGTTAATGAAACAGTAGATTTAATCACATTGGAATTAGAAGTTATGCTTACAGCGAAACATAATATGTTCTATATGAAGATCTTATAACGAGGGGCAATTTGGAGCCGAGGGTCTTGGAACTTCCACTTCAAGTAGCATTTTCTCTTACTTATGATTAGACAAAGTAAGTTGGAATCCCCTGCTCACGTGTGCTGTTCTAGATTTACTCAATATAAAGAGGGGATGTCCTTGTATCTCATATAATATCTTAACGTTTCTGATAAATTTTCCAGTAATGTGATTTTCCCCTGGGGTAAGGTAGTAAGGTGACTGATGGATTTGTTAATATTACAGGAAAATCTGAACTTGGGGCTGATGGCATTAGCCACTTTCAAACAATAAGCAGAGCTTGTCTAAATGCAACTGCAAGTCTAACTAATGACTGCATCCAGAGAATTCATCAATTGGAATATAAGAGGTCTAACTCATGCAAGATGCTGCACACGAAGCTTGCATTTTCCGTTGAACAAATTTTTCAGTTTGCCATGCTAGCATTTGAATTCGAAGGTCCCGGAGAAGATGCAGAAAGCAATCCCATCTTATTTGCAGTTCTGCATCATGGCATTCAATGTGTCCGAGCTGTTCTTACTGATTCTGACATACAGGTAACCAAATGTCAATTTTTATGTTGATCTACCTTCCTAAAAAATTAAGGTGTCAGAGCAGGGATAACACAGGCCAAATTCCGTTTTGAATCAAAGGCCTGGCATGAGAACAATATTCATAAATTGGTAGAGGCGAGACTTGAACTTAGGACTTGTGTGTGCTTTGATACCATATTAATCTACCTCATCTAAAACTTTAAGCTATTATAGAGGACACTATTCATTTAAATTTAGTCTTCATTGGTTCAGAATATCAAGGCACTTGTGCTCAAATAACCATAACTGTTTTGTGCAGATTCAAGCAATTGGGTTGCAAGTAGTAAAAGTCATTCTACATAAAGGAAGCAGTGCAGAATTTAATAATTTTTCGATTTTTTTTGTTGGGGAGCTTGTTGGAGATTTGTTTATTATAATTCAGAAAATTTTGGAGGTACTTATTTGATATTACACAGAATGTTTCTATTTTTTCTTTAAATAACTCTGCATCATCTTAAAGGACATGCAATGTGCTTTTGATTTCAGAAACCTATCAACAGAGAAGCAGTGGCTATTGCAATGGAGTGTCTGAAAATTCTAATGCTTCTCCAAACTCTTTCAAAAGCTAATGATTATCGGAAAGAACTTGTAAATCTGCTTTTGGAAGCTGTTCTCATGATCACATCAGATGGTACTCTTTCTCAGGTAATCCCATATGATACACTGTCCGATTCTTGTTTAGTTTTCTTTTTCTCCATTCTAATTGTCAATTTCAATTATAGGAAGCTAATGAATTACAAAGTGCAGCTGTAAAACTTGTTTCGCAACTCGCTCAAATTTTTAGGTCAGCAGCTTATATCAAGGATATTTTATTGGCAATGCCTGCTATAAGAAGACAGCAGCTCCAGGTTCTTGTATTCTTTGAAATTATTGATAGAATTTCGAAAAAATTGAATTAGTAGGCAACTGTAGTTCATCTTTGCTCGTTTCCATTATATTTCTTGTTAAACCCTGGTATACTCACCATTAATTTGTTATTTATTTAAATTATTTGAAAAAACTCTTGATGCTCTATGCAGAATACTTGATTTTTGAAATAAACCATAGTTCTAATGAATGTTTTAATACTTAACTCAAGCTTCAAGAAATTTCTTTCTATATGCTCATATCACATTATGCATACAAAGGGAAGAGAATCTCAGGGTACTTGTAATTCTAGACTTTTTCCTATTTTCCTTTTTTATTGAGTGTTTATCTGTATGAAATCTATACGTTTTTTTTTTCTTTTGTAGGACAACTTAAGGAATTTTAATATCCTCATTATGATATATAATTCATAATTTCAGGATTTAATCCGTGCATCTATGACACAAGGTCAGAACCCGACACCAGTGACATCCTCACTTCCACCCTTAGTGATAAAGTTACCTTCACAGACACAGGAAAATAAAGAGAAAAATCCCTCTCCATTAGCCGCTCCAAAAGAGTCTGATGACATTACTGAGGAAGAGGAAGAAGATGATGATTGGGATGCTTTCCAGTCTTTTCCGGCTTCCAAAAATGAAGCTGTTCCAACTCCAGAAAGAGACTCCTCAGTTTCAGATTACATTAGTATCGAAAAGGATGTTAAAGGACACTCTACTTCCCCATCTTCTAACAAGGTGGAAGAACTCGCTGTTGAAGACGACGACATGTTTGAAGGGGAAATTGCGTTTCACAGAGCGAATGATAGCAGCGATCAAATAAAAGAATGCTCTGATCCCGGAGATGATTCCCATAATGCTCATCAATCTGATGATTTCCATCGGGATAGTGATACAATGTTATCAAGCTGTGATGAAAAAATCGTGCCTTCTATCCCAGTTTATCAAGCGGCAGAAAAAAACATGGATCCATTTCCCCATGGAGGCAAGACAATTGAAGTAGTGACCGGCGGGGAGAATGATCGGTCTTTATCAGATGATCAAAATATTGAAGACGAGGAAGTTCATAGCAAGCCATCTGATGTATATCGTGATGAACATGGATTGGGATCTTTCAATGAACTTCAACCTGCTGAATTTGCAACAGGAGATGCTAAGCCATCTGACGATCACCATCTGGAAGATGCAGATATCACTGACCATGGCAATAGCTCAGCCTTATCCAATTCTGATTCAGCCAAAGATAAAGGTGAAATCCAAGTTGACGAATCAGAAACTGATGACCAAAGAAGGGTAGCCAAGGTCATAAACGGTGATAAAGTTACCTCTGACATCAATACTTCTGATACTGATTCCCACAGGAAAACTAATCATACACATTGAATTCCACTTGTCGTGGCTTGATGATCACGTAGAAAATGAGAATGATTAGTAGGCACATTGGTTTCCCAATAAAAGGTGACTGCACTTTGGAATAGTAAGGTTTATCAATGTAACCATGAAGTAGGTAGGCGATGTTAATGGTGATATGCACAGTTATGTTCAGTGTACACCTGTGCTAGAGTGGGGAGTGGTTCTGTCAGTAATGAAGTAAATTTTGGCATGCCTTTTTGTCTTCTACTCCTACAATTGAGTCTTGTAACTGCTGATTCTTTTATGTCAATATTAGGTGCTTTATATTCAGTGGAACCGTGTAGAATACTTTCTATTTAGCTGTTGCAGTGCATTATGAGTCGATGACTGAAGATGCCTGGCTGTTCTTGTTTAACCTGATGGTTTAGTGGCTGGCATTTCTTATATGAAAAATTTCCTAGTTTCTTATCACGTTGGTTACAGAGAGGCCCGGGATGCCCACTTATGGCCTGGGCCTTCTTGGTATTGCTCGACTGGCCCCTCAGATTTTTTGTGGCTGGGCTCGGTCTGTCCCAATGTGGGTCTGGTCCGGCCTAGATGGACATCCGGCCGAATCTGTGGTCTGTAATTGTGTTACATCTTCCACGTTCAGAGCCCTCTCGAGGGTTTTCCTAAAGAGTAACTCAGTTTTAAGGGGGCACTTGAGCCAGCCTCGGCAGCCCAATAGCTTCTTGACCCATCCAATATTTTGGCCAATTCCCCCTTCTTATAATCAAACATGAAATTATTGCCAAATCCGAGTTTGCTGCTCACACGAGGGTGCATTCCTCGTTTGCTATCGTATGCATTCAAGATATATTGAGGTTAGGGCATTGACGTACATTTAGGGTTTTGTTTGAGTCCCATTTTGGGATAATAGTTTTTGTAATAGTGACGCATCTTATTTGATATTTTTGAACGAAGATCATGATTAGGTATGAGATTTTTGATAAATGAAATGTTAAAAATAAGAATGTGATCGAGACAAAATTTAAGAAATAATGAATAAAAGTTAATGAACTTTAATGTAGCCCCTTTTGACACACATTCTTTAAAAATTAAACAAGTAGAATTCCGGTATTTCAAATTTGCTCTCTTTATAAACAAACGGCTTTAAATAACTCTTGTTTGTCTCCATTATATATATGTATGTTTTTTTTTTCTTTTTTTTAACAACACATTATTCAATAAAATAATATTACACATAAATCACATAAATTTCATTATTTTTCAATTACACATTCTAAAAAAAA